AAAACCTGAAAAAATATTCTAGGACCTCTGCTGCAGGACTTGAATGCTCTGCTTACAGAGGTGTCACAAATTCACTTAATTTGGTGCTTATACTTATAGCATATTTCAAATGTATATTCTCAGGATCACCTGTAAATTTTATTTATTAAATTGAATCACCATGAGATACAGTTACCAAGCTTTCATGATTGGATTTCAGTCATACAGTGTTCCAAAATCTATCCTACCACCAGTATCCCCAGTATCCTGTGCCGCAGCCTGCCTCTATGGCAGGCAACACACACACACACACACACACACACACACACACACACACACACGTTGATTTTTTTTTTCTTGTAAAGTTCTACACGTGCCTTATGTATCTTGGTTATTAACCCCCTTATCTGATGGGTATTGGGTAAATAATTTTTCCCATTCTGTGGCAGATAGCACCCTGATACCAAAAGTGGACAGAGATATCACACAAAAAAAGAGAACTACAGATCGATATGCCTGATGAACACATATGCAAAGATCCATATGTTAATTTTAATTTCACTATGTCTTCTGGACACAGCTAGGTTTTGTTCTTCTTGTCTTTTGTGGATGTTTATCAGTGTCTTCGTAAACAGTTGGGTTTGTTTTTTGCTTTTTTTGGGGTTACACCCAGCAATGCACAGAGGTTACTCCTGGCTCTGTGCCCAAGAATTACCCCTGGTGGTGCTCAGGGGACCATATGGGATGCTGGGAATCTAACCCGGGTCGGCTGCGTGCAAGGCAAACACCCCACCTGCTGTGTTATTGCTCCAGCCCCAACAGTTTTTTAATATAAAACTTCGTGCCTATATGTCTCTGTTGCCACCCTTGTCAACCAATGAAGATCAGTTCCCTTAACAACTTTCTCAGCTAGGATCATTGTGATAGCAACACATGGAACAACTATGTCCCATTTTTTGGGCTCTACTTTGGGACCTGCAGCCACCTTTCAAGCACATTTTCAAGATGTTCTGAAATTTCACTCGATTTCAAAGAACTGAATGAAGATTTGTCTTTTTTTCCCCCTAGAATTTTTTTACATTACTCTTTTCTGGTCTGCTGACAGATATGCCCAGTTTTGTTCAGAGATCAGTGAACAGAAATATTTTGGGGCCACAAGAGCTCTGTTTGGTCTCCAGTTCATTTGTTTAATGGGTTATTCAGTCAAAACAGTTTATTTCTGAGTGTTAGTTTCTCTATAAATAGAATGAGGACATTGATAAAGCCTTCCTCTTCAGGTAGCTAGACGGAGTAAGTATGAAATTTTGTTGTCATCTATGGTGTGAGTTGTGATTGTCATTATCAGACTGAGCAAGACAAAAGGTCTGGATTATTTTCCTTGTTCAGAGAATGTATTTTCATATGTACAGAACAAAGGAAATTAAATATCATCCCTGCTCTTAAAGCAGTGGATATGTATCCCATCTCTATAAATAGTGTTTACAGAAAAATAGAACAATTATGAACTTAGAACATAACAGGCAATACAGACACAGTTTAGTATTCTAGTGATCTGTTAGAATCTATTATGGATCCATGACTTTCTTTTGTTTTTTTTTTTTGCAGGAGAAGCTTATTGATTGCCTCACAGAAATCTAGGGGGTTGGGGTGTGGGTGTGAATAAAAGAATAGTAGAAGGGAAGTAACCTCATTTCTCTTCATGCTTTGTTGAGTTTGTTGGCCTTGGCCTATCCCTTTTGCTCATAGAAAAAATCTTTTAACCTATACGAATTGTTTTGCATGTTACTTCAAATTTCCTGGTATGTTTGCCCAAATTACCCCATTTCTATAACTCCCTTTAAACTGAACTCCTCTATTGTACATTTTTGGAGAAATTATCATTATCAAACTGAGCAAGACAAAAGGTCTGTATCATTTTCCTTGTTCAGAGAAGGTATTTTCAATGTACAGAACAGAGGAAATTAAATATCATCCCTGCTCTTAAAGCAGTGGATATGTATCCCATCTCTATGAATAGTGTTTACAGAAAAATAGAACAATTATGAACTTAGAACATAATAGGCAATACAGACACAGGCTTTATCAAATTTTTGGAGAAACATTTTCTGTAGGGTTTTATTAACATTTCTCAGATTATGTTTATATACCTTTTGATCATCTCAGCATCCTTGGTGATTTGAAATAATTTACTTAAAATAGCAACTTTCAGCAGATGTTTGTTGATTAAAAATGTTTACCAGGAAGAAAAAAAATGTTTACTAGGTGCTGACAGTACCATTTGTTTATTTAGGCCATTTCACAGATGAATGGAAATCATCTGCCCTTCCAAGTAAAATAGGTGTTTGGTGGTTCTATTTAAATTATCTTTATGTAAATAGACATATGAGGCATATATATCATGGTCACGGTCCTCCCGTTGTTCATCGATTTGCTCGAGTGGGCCCAGTAACGTCTCTATCATGAGACTTGTTGTTACTGTGTTTGGCATTTATTTTTTTTTTGTTTTGTTTTCTGTTTCTAAAATTTGCTTGACTTAATGTGAACTACTTTGTTTTACATGGAAGATTTTAAAAGAAACACTGGGGCTAGGAGATTTCTGGTTTTCATTTAAATTTTTAAAAAATTTTGCAAGTCTCTGATACTAATAACTATAGTGTTCTAATCTTCACAGCAGTTTGGTTATTTTTTTTTTTGTGTGTGAAACTTGCTGTTTTCACCTTATGGATGAGTTTTTATTCATTTTTATGTTAATGAGCATTTCCTGACGTCCTTTATTATTATTATTTTTTTTTATTGAATCACTGAGAGAGTATTACAAAGCTGTTCATGATTGGGTTTCAGACATACAATGTTCTCACACCCAGCCCTCCACCAGTGTAATTTCCCAGCACCAATGTCCCCAGTTTTCCTCCCACCCATTCCCTATTCCCAATCCCCCCCATCCCAGTCTGCCTCTACCCCACCCCCTTGCTCTTGCTCTCTCATTTTGGGCATTATGGTTTGCAATACAGATACTGAAAAGTTATCATGTATATCTCTTTACCTATTTTCAACACTCAGTTCTTGTCCAGAGTGATCACTTCCTACTATTGTTGTCATTCTGGACTCTGTTCTATCTTAACTACCTCTGTTCCCACCCCCCACCCCCCACCCCCACACACACACTTGTGGTAATTTCCAACCCTTTAACCTGTTCTCCTGGCCCCTATTTTCCTGGGCCTTGGATATTAGTCTCATACTATGGTTTTTATATCCCACATGAGTGTAATCTCATTCTCTACCTGTCCCTCCCTGTCTGATCATTTCACTCAGCATGGTCCCCTCCATGGCATTTTTTGAAATCTTAACATATGCCACCACTGTCTGTCACACTGTCCGTCCATTGTTCATCGATTTGCTCAAGCAGGCACCAGTAACGTCTTCATTGTGAGACTTGTTACTGTTTTTTTTTCTTTTTTTCTTTTTTTTCAGGTCACACCCAGCGATGCACAGGGGTTATTCCTGGCCTATGCAGTCAGAAATCATTCCTGGCGGTGCTGGGGATGGTATGCTGGGAATAGAACCTGGGTTGGCCACACCTGGGTTGGCCACGTGCAAGGCAAACGCGCTACCCGCTGTGCTGTCACTACTGTTTTTTTTGCATATCAAATACAACATGGGGAGCTTGCCAGGCTCTGCCTTGCGGGCAGGATACTCTTGTAGCTTGCTGGGCTCTCCAAGAGGGAGAGAGGAATCTAACCTGGGTTGGCCGCTTGTAAAACCCGCTGTGCTATTGCTCCAGCCCTAACATGCCACCACATCCAATACATATTCTATGGAAGTTGCTGAAATAAGTAAGTCCCACCTGGTCTTTGTTCTGAAGAGTTTGTAACTGAAAGGGGAAGTTCTAGTTGAAGCATGAAGTGTGGTTCTTCTAGTTGATCTTCCACTCAAGGAGGTAGAGATGCATAGTTATTAGTGTTTAAATGAGACTTAGACACCAGTCCTAACTTTGGGAAAATGTTTAAATCTGATGGAGGAGGCTATAGAACATTGAGTGCTGGATGAGAATTTAGAGCACTTTTTGTGACAGTCATCCTTTGTGTGTTATTTGTGTATATATCTTAAGAAGAAGCAGTGTAAGTTGGAATTGGGTAGACTAGGCCCCAAGATGCCATCTTTTTCTATTTGCATCTTGCTCCAAATGCCAGAGAATAGACCAGTGAATGCTCTTCTTAGATCTCCAGATGCAAGTCAACTTGAAGGCAGAGTTCTGGTATACTTCAGGGTTCTGTTTTTCTTTTGGTTGCCAGTTCTCTTTAAGTAGCTCTCTTTGGATGTTTAGAGACATCTAGAGAACCCATTTTAATTGATGCAAGAGGCTGTTAACCCAGTGAAGAATATGGCATTTCTTCGAGTATCTGCAGTATAAAGACATCAGGTAGATGCAAATTTTTGGGAAAGGATTCACCAGGCCTTTGGAAGCTAAGACATAAATTGGATTTATTTTAATTCCTTTCACCATTAACTCACTTTCTCAGTTGTGAGATGTAAATTAGTCATGCTTTTTTTTTTTTCATTGTTTCAACAGTACTTCCTTTGAAATTCCTGATTGCTGGGTTCTGATTTTTTTTTTTTTGGCTTTTTGGGTCACACCCAGCAATGTACAGGGGTTACTCCTGGCTTTACACTCAGGAGTTACTCCTGGCAGTGCTCAGGCGACCATATGGGATGCTGGGAATCGACCCCGGGTTGGCCATGTGCAAGGCAAATGCCTACCCGCTGTACTATTGCTCCAGCCCCTGGGTTCTGATTCTGTTGTTTGTATCCTAACCATTATTTGTAATACCGTGTTGGACACTGAGAAGATATATTAGGGATTTTTGTGAGTCACAACTTCCTACGAATTTGTTGCTGTTTTGTTTATGTGAGGGATGTAGAATTGATCATCTTAAGATACTAGAATTGATTTTTGAAGTTTCCTTCCTGTGTTGAGCTCTGACTCCTGTAAGCCTTCCTATCTTTCTTCTCGCTCTCTGCAGTGTGCCGAGATTTTGCTGTCCTGGAGGACCACACCCTCGCCCACAGCCTGCAGGAACAAGAGAGTGAGTAATGAATGCCCTTAGCCCCACGCCTTAGGTGGCTTTTCTTAGCTGGAGACAGATTCCTAGTCATCAGGTCCCACTTACGCCATCCCTCTGTATGGAGGGATCTGTCTAAGCATAGGACCCTGAGTGAAGAATGAAGATTTACATAATTTGAATAGCTGCAAGCACTTAGAAAACGGCTGGGAGGGAAAATGGGGCTCAAAACTTCTCCTTTGCTCTAGTGCTATTGAAAGGAGGCACTGCTTACACATCGACCTGGAGGGGGCAGAGCCGGGAGTAACCCCCGAGCACCACTGGGTGTGGCCCCAAAACAAACACTTCAGAAAAGCTACCTATTTGTGGATGTGTAATACATGAATCATTATTCATATGTCTAGATAAATCATTGAGGATTGAAAATGTAGTTTGTAAGTAAAGTGGCAACTTGTGGCACGGAGGCAGCATTGGCCTCGGGTTTAGAATTATGTGGCTCGAAGGCCTGACACCACCACTGTTTGCCCCGTGACCAAAGGCAGATCACTTCACTTTTCTGATCCATTTCCTACACAAAAGAAAATGGGTAGAATCATTCCCCTGCTGCCTGTTATTCAGCGTTGCCAAGAGCAGACAATGAAATGGTGATGTGGAGCTCTTTCTTATTTCAGTGCTCTTAAGTTATTTCTGCAGGTTATTCTTGTTGAGCCATGGCATCTGTAATGTCTCTGTTCCCTGCTTCTGTCACAGTTGAGCATCATTTGGCATCGAACATTCAGAGGAGCCGTTTGGTTCAGCATGATCTCCAGGTGGCAAAGCAGCTCCAAGAGGAAGATCTGAAGGCTCAGGCCCAGCTCCAGAAGCGCTACAGAGACCTGTGAGGATGTGGGCTGGGAGGCATCTTACAGGCCTGAATTTCTCTGTGGAGCTAGTGACCAAGGCAGAGAGCCGGGAGACTGCCCTTCTGTCCCTGCGATTTAGTGGCCTATTACAAATTCTGTAGTTGTTGGAACTATTTATTGATTTAGGGGATAGGTATATTCTAATGTGAACTCGAACAGCATTAACTGTATGACGTTGCGCCATATGACTATGTTTTCCTTTGGTGTAACATGGGGGAGACAACTTTTCTGTGTTCCTCCTGGGTTATTTGGGGGGAGCAGCTTAAATAGTGGATATCGGAGTTTAATGAGTTGTTTCAGGCTCTTCTGTTTCCTCATGTTGTTTGCTGGTGTTTTGCTTGAGACTCTTGCTTTTTAGTAGAGGTCGAATCTTCACCAGAGTTCTGAATTGAACAATTCTCTTTTATTATTTTAAATTTTATTTATTTAATTAATTTCTTTTTTAAACTTTGAATTCCGTGTTTGGCAAAAGTTTTTATCAGTTTCCTCCTGTCATAGTTACATAAATGAAAGACCATCTCAGGTCTTTTTTAGAACAGTGCCATTTTACTCTTTCAAATGTTATAGCTTCACACAGTGTTTCTTTGAGAGTATTTTATTTACTTAAAACTCTGATAATGGTACTAACCATGGAGTCCCATTTTGAAGAGGAAGGGGTAAAGGGAGACGTGAGATAAAGACACTGTTTGAAAGGCTTTGGAGACCACTCACGAGTATGGCTGAAACAGTAATTGCTCATAAGAGCCTCAGGAAATTAGTCTGAGCCTGTGTATCTCAAGACAATCCACAAGGCACATAGAAATGAACAGTGCATTTCTTGCTCATGAAGAGAAACAATCCTGGGAAGTCAGTTCAAACACCAGTGATGCATTTAGTCTCAACCTTGATGGTTAATGTGGTATTTACAGTGATAATTAGGGGAAATTCTCTGTTCCTGTGAGAGGCAGCAATGTAAATGCAGTGAACCGGCCTGGCATGTAACCTTAAGATGTCTTGCATATTGCTAAAGTGAAGACATTCAGTAGCAAGGACAAAGACGAGAGATAAAGAGAAATAGTCAAAAGCCACATATAAAAATCATATATGAAGGAATATCAGTCTGAATAGATTTTATATAAGAAACAATTGACAGGACCACCGAAGAAATGTTTTCTTGTTGGTCCTACTGTTGGGGGTGGATAAGTTTAAAGATTGGAGAGGGTAAGACTGAGCAATAATCAGTTTAAGACAAGATTTGATTTGAGTTGAGGACACTGAGTCAGAGAGATGGAGCGGAAGAGAGAAAGTGGACACAGAGGCCTGATTGGAAGGTGGAGATTGGAGAGGTGTGGAAGCCTAGAGTCACAGAGATGAAACCAAAATGTTCCAAAACATTCCCATTTTAAATGATTGCCTTTTCTGATGCTCAGTGCTCTGAGTTGAAGGCCAGTTCTAAATTGGCAGAAGTTCATGTAGCCATTGAGGGCTAGGGTACCTCAGGGCTTCAGGTCACATGCCTTGCACTCATGAGGACCCAAGTTCTATTCCTAACACAGCATGTCTTCCTGAACTGGCCTTCAGCATTGAACTGTCTGAGCTAGTTTCACCAGGAATGTCACCTGGTCCCCCAGATCGGAAGACACCCTTCCCCTACAGAGTATCAGCCAAGAGTTGTATTAGGATAATGGTCACTTTATGAGTCAAGGAGGGATTATTAAACTAGAACCCAGCAGAATATAAATCAGGGTCTGCAAAGTAGTGGATTCTAAGTCCTTACTGAGCAAAAAGTCAGGTATCATATTGGTTTTGCCTAGATCTTCATTATTTGAGGGGTTTCCCTGGATGAAATAATTAAATTACAAATTTTTTACATTTTCACACCCAGGCATGCTTGTCCACTGAACATCATTGGAGGGTTGAAATATCAGATTTGAAAGAACTTTTCACTCCATCTGAATTCTGGGGCCTCTGCCCCGGTTAAGCATGATACTTGCCAACTACTTCTTTCATAGTTGAGCGTGCTTCCTCAGTTACATATAATTATCTCAGATACTGGAACTGATTCTTATTATTATTCTTTTTCCCCCAGGAGGTGCTCAAAAGGCCTGTGGCCCTTCTGGTGACTCTGGACCCAGCAGATCAGTAGCTCAATGTGGGGTCCAGCTTGTCACCAGGGTGTTCCTCAGAGGTTGTAGGGCTCTACATAGCTTTGCTGGGGGTATCCTTGGATCCTGGGGATTCATGCAGTATCAGCTGCATGCAAAGCTTGTGCCTTTGCTCTCTGACTCCAAACCAGCCCTTTTGGAAATATATTTAAAACTAGTTAAGCTCAGCTTGAACTTCACTTCATTTTTTTTTTAATTTATAGGCAACTCCATCATTTGTATGCTACTGTATAAAGGTGCATTCTACACTAGTAGTACAGTCTAAATTTTTTTTAAATATTTTTTTATTGAGTTACTGTAATTAGCACAGCGGTAGGGCGTTTGCCTTGTGCACAGCCAGCCTTGCCGAGCCAGGTTTGATTCCTCCACCCCTCTCGGAGAGCCTGGCAAGCTACTGAGAGTATCTCGCCTGCGTGGCAGTGCCAACCACAGTAACAAGAAGTCTCAAAATGGAGATGTTACTGGGCCCGCTTGATTAAGCAAATCGATGAACAATGGGAGGACAGAACTGTAATTTACAAAATTATTCATAGCACCCAACTTTACAGTCAGCTGTGATCAAATTTCTTGTATACAATTTCCCCGACCTCAACTCCATCACCAGCATCAGAAATCATTCCCACCTGGGCTCTGGGGCCATATAGGGTGCCAGGGACCAAATCCGGATCTGCTGCATTGCAAGGCAAACGCAATAACAGCTGTCCTATCACTCTGGCTCCTGGCTTTTTGTTTGTTGGTTTGGGACCACACCTGGTGGTGCTCAGAGCTGACTCGTGACACTGCTCAGGGATCACTGCTGGCAGGCTCAGGGACCATATGGGGTGCTGGGGATCAAACATGGGATGTCTCTGTACAAGGCAAGCACCTTACCCTCAGTACTATTGCTCTGGCAGATGTATTCTAAAATCTTAAACTTCCTTTTGCTGTTTTTGAAACCCAATATCAGAAGCTTGTGAGCAGCTCAAGACATATTTGCTATCCATCCCTGAGCGATCAAATTCTGTTAGAACTGATCTTGTAGGGATACCATATAGAAGGGTCAGTTTCTCACAGCAAATGAGGGAGGGGTTGGGGATTTAAAAATAAGTATTGTGAGCATCTGAGCACAGAACAGAAATTTAATCATTTCTGTATCTTCTGTTGGGCAGAGTGCCGGAATCATAGCAGATGTTGAACCTTGTTCAATGCCTGAATGCTAAAACCAAAGCTGTGGTAACGGTAGCAGTATAGTATTTGGGTTTTATGATTTTAGAACGGGGGCGGCCAAAGAGATTTATACTGGGAACAAAAGATAAGACATACATTGGTTCTTCCACCTTTTATGTTTATTTTTTACTGGGGGGATGATGGTCAGGACTGCTCCCAGCTCTGGTCTCCAGAGTCACTGGAGTCACTCTCAGCAATTCTCCCGCAATCCTATGGTGCTGGAAATCGAGTCTCAGCAAGGCACACCTTAGCCCCTTGTGCTGTCTCTCCATTCACTTCCCCTTTTAAATCCATTTTAAAAATATTATTGAAACTGAAAATAATGTGCATGTACGTAAGAGATTCATTAAAAAAATCATTTTAAAATGTTATTGCCATCTTTAGGTGGCCAGCATTTTAGTGAGTTCATGCCACATTTTTTTCTGTATACATTCTATACATTTGTATAGATAAATACAGGGACATTCATTTGCGCACATGAATCAGATAGACTGTATCTCCTTTTCAGAATCTTGAGAAGACATGCCTGCCTATCTCTGAGAGGGTTCTGTAGGGTGAGGTAATAGAGTAAGAAAAGCACAGAGCTTTCGATTGTAATATTTTGGGATAATTTGCTTTTGCTGCTCATTTCCTTTGTAATCTTAAGAAAATAATTTACTGCTCTGGGTCTCTTTCTCCTTTTAATCTATAAAATAGGACAATGTCAACTTCTTTGTATGTTATGAGGACTCACTTTGTATGTTATTATCATGGCTCAGAGTGAACATTTAGCAAATGTGTCAATTTTAGGGAAAAACATTTTGTATTTTACTTACTGTGTTATTTTCAATTTTGATGTTTTAGTGAGCAACAAGATTGTGAAATTGCCCAGGAAATCCAGGAGAAGCTGACAATTGAGGCAGAGAGACGGCGCATTCAGGAGAAAAAGGATGAGGTACCCTTTATTTAATGCCCTTTCAGCCAATGAAGGAAGTATAATTCAGCTCATGAGCAATTACTCCTGTGTACTTGGGCTCATTGAAGGTTGATGGGTTGGCAGAAGAATGCTTCTCCTATGGGGGTGCATGGTCTAGGCATTGTCTTCTATGTAGACTGTTTATTGTTCCTCATCCATAAACATTTTCTTGTTTATACCATAATTAGCCTTAAATATGAGGGTGGATGACTTGACAGATAAAGTGAGTTAGTTTCCTCAGAGTACTATAACAGATTACCACAAATTGAGTAGCTTAAAACAATAGAAATTCATGACAGTTCTAGAGATTAAAATCTGAACTCAGGATGTTGACAAAGCCACTCCGCCAATTAGTAATGATCCTTTGTTGCCTTTGTCTAGCTTCTGGTGCCTACCGAGAGCTGTTGACATTTTTTGGCATGTAACTGAATCTTTTCACTCTTATTATCAAGTGTCCATGTTTCCTATATCTTTGTGTTCTCTGCTTTATATAAGAATAATACCATCCTTAATTCAGTAACACCGCTTCATAATTAATTACATGTGCAAAAACCCATTCCAAAATAAGCTTTTGTAGTTCTGGCAGAAATAAATTTCATGGGGCTACTTTTCAACTCATTGGTGTCTGTATATAAGTTATTCATGTAACTTTAGTCAGTATACCCTGAGTGCAGTCTCAAAATGAGTTAGGAAGAAGTCATTGTGAGATCATTTCTCTCACAATGTTATTAATATAAAATATTAACACTTTCTGTTCATATTTTTACTTTCCTTTGATTTGCTGCCATAGAGAACTAGTCTGATTCTATGTGTGTGTCTGTATACATATATATATAAATACAAAATATATATATGTGTATATATGTATCGCCAGATGTAGCCACGCAAAACAAAGCCAAACAAAAACCCCATGGTTATGTGATGATCAGAGCTGCAAGTAAGGGTTGAAGGTTATTTTTGATCCTTCCGTTACCAACACAGGGGCCCTTCTTACTGCAGGATGCATTGCCTCTCTTTAGTCAGGACTTTGCTTTGGGGACGAAACTGGGACTTGAAAGAAGGGATTATATTTTGTAGACAGGAAAGCTTCTATTTTAAAAATAACAGAGTAATGAAGTTGGCTCCTTATAAATGCTACTGGTGTCCTGTGACTTTTTTTTTCTTTTTAACCCCCTTTCAACGGGAAAAAAACGGGATAGAAAGAAAAACCCAACCACTATTTTTAGGCATATAGAACCTAAATCACAATCACAGCAACTAATCTATGGCAATACTATTTTAACTAAGCGTTGTGCAGATGAGTAAATTAGGTGTTGGAGACGTGAATGGTTTCAAATTATGATAGTTGGCCATAGAACATAGAAATCAGGTCTTTTGACCGCTTCCAGATATACTGTGACACATCCTAAAGCACAGAGACGAGTTACACAGGTCTGCGATTGGATCCTAGCTTTTCACCTTGAACTGTGACTTTTACCATCCTAACCACATAGAACTTTAGATTTAAAATTGGACAAATCAGGGTAATTTTGTATTGTGCCCTAAGGGATGCTTGCGACAGAGTGTGCTTTTAAGCCTTTGCTATATATTGCGATAAACACTCTGTCCTTTTTTGCTTTCCTACCAGGTGTTCCAGTCATTCTGCCCTTATGGTAGATTGACTGGCCAGTCTAATTTCTCCTTTAGATAGACACTTGATTAATTTGAAAGGGTAAAGACAAGCTTAAATATGTCCCCAAATGGTGCTGCTTGAGGGATCTCCTAGGACATGTTTGCCTTTACTGGTCTTCTGTTCTCTTACCCTCCTCTGCTACCCCCAGTACATTGGGGAGGGCTGGGACATGGGATTGTGCACATCCAGTGAGGAGTGAGAATATCCTTTAAAATCTTGGTTCAGACTTTTAAAGTCTTTACTTTAGATAAGAATGCTATTGTATTGCCAGATTCTTTGAGACTAGAAAAATGTAAGTCCCAGCAGATGAGATGGTGAGATGATTCTTGAATACTAAACAAACGAGATCTGCATTGAATAAAATTTATCATTGACAGATGTTGATAATGCTTCTTTGTTTATTTTTGTCCTGCTGCCTCATAGGAGACTGTGGTAGGACCAGTTCCACTAGTTTCTTCTAGCCAGCTCTTTAAAAAAAAAAAAAACTTTATGTTACCCCAAGTTGTCCTAATTCCCCACTTTTTTGATTTTCTGCTTCCTTGTGGAATCTTAGTAGGTTCCTACTCAACATCAGGACAGTGGAAAATTCCTCTCTGTATTTCTCCCATATCTATACAAGATTCTGAAGATTCTGGGAGTCACTGCCCCTTGGGTAATTTATAACTCTCCAAAAAAAAAAAAAAGCAAAAATTAAATACTCAAAGGCCGCTGTTCTCTTGGGAGAGAATTTTTTGACGAAAATGCACGAAAAGTATTTAAGCTGCTTTTTGTTTATAAAAATTAGCATTTCTTCTTTGTTATGGTATAATTTTATTGTTTTTTCATAACGGATCACAGATGTTAGGAAAGGAGCAGTCCCATGCAGGGCTGCAGATGTAGAAAAGTTGAAAAACAAAGGGAGGGAAAAGTTGTTTTTTGTTCTTGGGAGTTGGAGCCTCTTCTTTCCTCCTCCCTGTGCCTCCCTCCTTCTCTGGTGTCTGTTCTCTTACTATCTCCTGTTTCTCTTAAAGTCTCTATACCTGGCATCTTGAAGACAGTAGTTGTATTTCTCTCTGGGTACCCAGTTGAGGGGACCTAGCCTTTGGAAATATTGAAAATCATTTTTGTGATTGACAAGAGTATATTAATTTTTTTTGGTATCATTTTATTTGGTCGCAGCATACACATTTATCAAGTACTGTTTTGAAAAGCCATAGCATATGTGTTCAGTTGATTTAGTATAGCCACTTTTAAATAAAACTCTCTAAGTATGTATGAATCAATCTTTGTCTCTCTCTCTCTCTCACTCTCTCTCTTCCCTCCCATCTCTCTCTCCCCTGCTTCATCTTTAAACCTGTCACTGTCCTCCCATTGTTCATCAAGTTGCTCGAGCGGGCCCAGTAACGTCTCCACGGTGAGACTTGTTGTTATTGTGTTTGGCATATTGAATATGTCATGGGTAACTTGCCAGGCTTTGCCGTGCGGGAGAGATACTCTCGGTAGCTTGCCAGGCTCTCCAAGAGCGGCAGAGAAATCGAATCTGGCTCAGCCAGGCTGGTTGCGTGCAAGGCAAATGCCTTACCGCTGTGCTATCACTTCATCCCTGCCCCAGATAATTATTTCTAAACATTCATCATGTCTAAGACACTTAGACTACTGTCCTGAACTGTAAAACTGCCCTATACACTGTAATGAATATTGGAATAAGCCTTCCAAGTGTTCCTCAAAAACTGCTCCTAGAGGCTGGGGCAGTAGTACAATGGGCAGAGTGATCCCTAGGTGCACAGTTAGGAGTCCTGATCACTGAGACCCAAAACTAACTAACAACAACAACACTTTGTAGCGAGAAGTTACAGAGAAGTCACAAAAATAATTCTTGCCGTTACCATTGTTCATCATCTTGCCAATACAGCACACGCCTGCTTAACACTTCTGGTGAGCCCTTCCATAAGTTCCAGGTTATTTTTGTCTGTTTGCATCCCTTGGCACACTTCCTGATACTAAGATCCCCAAGGTACTTCAGGCTAGATCTGTTTCCCAAAGTAGGGCCTGGAATCCTCTGGTTGTAAACAGTAGCCTCCTAATTTGGGAAGGTGCCAAACTGCGTTGGGGGGGGGGGGGGCAAGGGAGGGCGGTGGTGCTGGGGGGAAAGGGAGAGGGGTGCCTACTATTTGTTTCCTCTAAGAAGTGAGATTTGGGGCGAGGGAGGGGGAGGCTCAGTAATTTTGTTCTGAAAAGGGGCTGATGGGCCAAGTACGTTTTGGAATCTCTGGTCTCTGAACATCTGTTGTTTTTTTCTTCTGAAAAGAGCCGGGGATCAAACCCAGGGTCTCACACTTGCAGGACAAGTGCTCTACTGCCTAGCTACATCCCTTATCTAGACAATTTATTCTTGACTTTGGACACATTTCTAGAAAGAATTTAAACTCTCGGGGCCTGGAGGAATAGTACAAGGGTTTTAAGCCCCTGCGCTGAAAACTTCCACGCATAAACTCCAATCTCTGATAGCCCACGTGGGCCAAGCCCCAATTCCCACTTTCCTTCCGCAGTAAATGAACAGCATTTGTGAGCCACCAAGTTGAGGAGGATGCAGCTGTGTCTGTCATCCCTGATGCCACAAGCAATTTGCAACCATGCTACAGTCAGATGTGTTTAAGCCCCACTAAAAGGGATGTGGCCAGCTCCGTTCAACACCCAGAGCCCCTCAACTAAGTGGATGTGTGAACACAAGAGTCAGGAAGCACAGACCCTGGTTAGCACAGGGATGAGTGTGCAAGGGCCAGCAAGAACCATAAGAACCATGCAGGCATCACAAACAGGCATGTGTGCAGCCCCAACAATCATAACTACCAAATCAAACATCACAACAGGGAAGAGAAGGAGGAATAAAATGCTAATGTTTTTAAAGATAATTCAGCCCAGATGGGGCCAGAGCAACAGTAAAACGGGGAGGACGTTCGCCTTACACACAGCACCCTGAACATCCCATATGGTGCCCCAAGCAGGAGTAATTTCTGAGTAGAAAGCCAGGAGTAACTTCTGAGCATCACTGGGTGTGACCCAAAGAGCCTAAATAAATAATTTGACCAGAAAAAGTATAGGAGTAAGGTGCTTGGCTTGCTGTGGCCAACTCTGCTTTGAATCCCTGACCCTACATAAGACTCCCCAAGCCTCGCTGGGGATCACCAGTAAGCAGAGCCTATAGGAATAGCTCCTGAGCACCCTGGGCGCAACCCCCACACCAAAAAGAAAAGAAAAGAAAAGAAAAACACTTCCTACCTTTTGGGGCCAGAGAGAGGACAGTGGACAACTGTAATTATAGTACAAGTTAAACCTAATTCCAGATATACCTGAATGTGCAACTATTTTAAGGGAAGCCTTTTAATTTTGGATAAGTAAACGTAAACACGGCTGTTAGGAAAGTCTGTGGCCTGAATCCAGTAATTTGAAACCATTTATAATATGAACTATTCAGTGATATACTTAGCAACCAATTTACATTAAAAATTAATCTACTGTAATTCATACTATTTTTCTTTTTTTGGCAAGTGAACAAGCAATTTATTTTTAATTTTAATGCCTGTTTCTTTTTTTATACCTTAAAATTTTCTTATTAAGGCATAATGATTTTCATAGTTATGCACAGTTGAGTTTCAGATATATAATTTTCAATCACTAATCCCACCACCAGTATCTGTATCCGTCTGTTAATGTCCCCGGTGCCCCCCCATCCCCCAACCTGCCTCCTTGAGACGTACTGTTAAGTTTGGTTGTTGTAGTTTAGGATCTGCTCCTTACAGTTTTGATATATACATATACCACACCTCTACCCCACTGATATACCCAGCGCCCCTGATCCTGCCCTGTTGTTTCCCATCCAGCTCTTCTTTCTCTATGCCCCTCTAATCCCACCACTTTTCCTCTTCCCTGTCCTACTCATTTCTATAATCTGGGGTTAAGAGTGATCTAGGTATCCCCCCTTAAAGAACTTAGCATTCCCTTCTATTATTAAATAATAATAATAATAAGGCCCTCCCGTTGATCATCGATTTGCTCGAGCGGGCCCAGTAACGTCTCCATTGGAGACTTTGTTGTTACTGTGTCTGGCATATCGAATACGTCACAGGGAGCTTGCCAGGCTCTGCCGTGCGGGCGAGATACTCTCGGTAGCTTGCCGGGCTCTCCGAGAGGGGCGGAGGAATCGAACTCGGGTCGGCCATGTTGGCTGCGTGCAAGGCAAACGCCCTACCGCTGTGCTATCGCTCCAGCCCCTTCTATTATATATATATACCACAGATAACTGAGATCAACTGGTTTTTGTCTTTCTTTTGACTCACCTCACTTAACATTGTATCTGAACTCCAGTTCCATCCAAGTTACAGCAGATTGCATGAGTTTATCATTCCTTGTAGCTACATTGTGGGGTGTGTGTGTGTGTGTGTGTGAGAGAGAGAGAGAGAGAGGGAGAGAGTGAGAGAGAGAGAGAGAGAGAAACACATTCCACACCTTTATTTTGCACTCATCTGTTTCATCTTTTGTTGGGCACCTAGGTTGATTCCCTGTCCTAGCAATTATGCTGAGTGCTGCAATGCATAGTGGTGTGCATGTGTGTTTTTGAATGAAAACTTTGGTGTTCTGGGGGTAGATACCAAGATTTGGAATTGCTGGGTCTTATTGGCACTTCTATTCTGACTTTTCTGAGAAACTTCCATATTGTTTTCCATAGCGGTCATACCAGGCAGCATTCCAATCAGCAGTGGGTGAGAGTTTTCTCTTTAGCTACATCCCTGCCAACACAGATGGTTTCTATTTCTTTTGATACGTGCCATTTTCACTGGTGTGAAGTAATATCTCTTTGTGGATTTGATTTGTATTTCCCCTCATAGTAAGAGATGATGATCGCTCTTTTATGTTGCTATTGGCCATCCATCTTTCACTGTTAGTTGGAATGTCATCTGTTTCAATCTTAATGGAAAACATGATGGAGATTTCTGAAACATGTAACAATAGAACTCTCATACAATCCAGTGATTACACTTTTTGGCATCTTGAAAATATTAATTTGAAAGAATATAAATGCATACCTGTGTTCTTTGTGGCACTTAATAGCTGGGCTATGGAAACGTTCCAGTAGTTCAGCTACAGATGAATGGCTCAAAAAAGAAGTTTTTAGACACACACACACACACACACATATATGTAAACATATATATGTATATATAATGGAATATTATGCAGCTATTTCATTTCATTTCATTTCATCATCCTGTTATTCGTCGATTGCCACGAGCAGGCCCCAGTAACGTCTCTTTCATCCTAGCCCTGAGATTATCTTCAAGGCTATTTAGGAGAATGAGACCCATCATTGTTACTGGTATTTGGCATATTTGGTACGCCACAGGGAGTTTGCCAGACTCTGCCCTGTGGGCAGGCTACATTCGATAGCCTGCAAGTTGTCCAAAGTAGGAATGAGGGAGCTGGATTTTATAGTCTCTGAGTCTTGGTTGTTGATGGGATTACACGGCGCCAGGGGGCCAAGTGATGGGTGTGACCTCCGCCTACTGGAATTTGGAGGATCTGGGTGGAGGATGCTCGACTCCAATCCGAGTAGGCTTGGAGATCTCAGCCCCGGAACCCGCGTGGATTTGTCCCTCTGCCAGTACCTTCATGTGTGCGGAGAGTGGTCTCAGCATGGTGGTGGCTGGTCCTGGAGGTCTTCGGCTGCCAGAGCCCTGGTCGGGGTGGGGAGAAAAGCTCAACCCGCTCCCCTCCAAGGGACCGCAGCGAGGAACAGCCAGGCGCGGGGGCAGGAGACTGTACTGGTCTCGTCCGGGAGCTGGATTTTATAGTCTCTGAGTCTTGGCCGCTGATGGGATTACATGGCGCCAGGGGGCCAGGTGGTGGGTGGGCAGCTATAAGAAAAGATAAAATGCATTTGCTACAATATGAATGGAATTGGAAGATATAATAAGTGAAGTCTGAGGGAGAAGGACAAATATAGATTATTTCACTCACCTGTTGGAATATAGAAAGTCAAAATAAGGACATATACAGTACTGAACAAATGCTTGACATTGGAATATAGCACAAGTCACCAGGCAGAGGAGGGACTGTGGGGACAATGAGCAGACTAGAAGAGATGAAGACAATGGTAGTGGTGGTGGGCATAGTTTATATATCAGTACCATAAATTTTAGGACCGTTATAACTTCCTAACCTATAATAATACTAGATTTAAAAATCATATCGAAGGGAAACAGGACACTAAAGCTGGGAAATTACACTGGTGCAGGGATGGGTGTTGAAACATTGTATGACTGAAACTCAATCATGAACTTCTGTTCATGATTTTTGTTCATGTTCATGATTACAAGCATTTTGTAATGCTCTATCTCATGGTGATTTAATGAAAAATAAAAATAAATAAAAATCATCAGTAATAGCAATACACTTTATTCCTTATTATACTATAAAGAAGTAGTTAAATATCCCTTGTGATTTTATCATTGACACCAGTGAGTATTGTCATATTTTCCATGACTGTTAAGAATAAGGTGATACAAGGTCTTTCCTCCTACACCAAAGAAAGTGAGACACTAACTATACCAAGAGTGGTCTCCTACTAAGACTGTGCTTATATGATTATACAAAGTTCACCATTCATTTATAAAAATCTATCTTACAAATCAGTGCTTTGAGAAGTAACAATTGTGTTGATACGCAGCAAATGAGTAACAAGACTAAGTATTCATAAAGCAGATAAGCTTCATCAAAGATAATTTTTGAAAGATTTTCACTTTGGAGATTTCAAATCTATATTTTAAATAGGATTACCTTCTAAATGTAGTTTGTGTCCTTTGACCAGTATCTTTACATTTTACTATCTAGCAGTCCCTGGTAACCATCATTCTACTCCTTGTTTCTATAAGTTTGGCTCTTTTAGATTCCACATATAAATAACATCATGCAGTATTTGTTAAAAAAAATTAATAAGGTGAGAACCCCCCCAATCTTCTCCAGAAAGCTTTTCATGAATAAAGTCATGTGCTATTTTATGGAGTTTCCATAAAAATAATCATTTTCAAACATTCTTCAGCCCTCAATTTTTGCTAACTCTTTATGTCTTTTTAGACATCAGCTTTTTAGTCAATAAAAGAATGCTTTATGGTCTAGCCTCAATTGTCTTTCTAGCCTTAATTTTCTCAGAAGTGTTCTGCATACAGTATTCTAATTGGACTATTGATTATTCCTTAGATTGATAATCATTATAACATTTACACATTTCTTGATTCCCCCCGCCCTTATCTATTTTGTCTGTTGGAATCCAGTACCACAAAACTACAGTACACTTAAGTGTCTCAAAAGAAGAGGTAAGACTGTTTATAAGAAAATGTTATGTCTATCTGAATGAATTGGTAAAACTTTGTGCTAATGTTAAATTTAACATAAAATTTACTTAAGGGTATTGTAGTTTTTTGTGTAAATCTTTGTTTATAGGTGGCAATTGGTCCCTGGCATGACAGAGGAAGAATGTTATTCCTTGCTCAGAAACTGTTAGAACTTTCCTGGAGATGAAGCATTGAGGGAACAGTAGAAAGATTCTTTTCTCTTATTCAGTTATGACTGTCGTTCTTCAACTTGAAAAAAAATTAAGTTTCAAAATTAGTTTAAAAATAAAATTTCTTCTTGCCTAACCAGCCTTATCAATCAATGTCTTGGAAAAAAAAAAAAGCCCAGGTGTATTTATCAGGTTTTGTTGTATTACCAGCTTTAGAAGTTCTATGTTTGAATGTTCTTCAATAATGCTGATTTAAATTTAAAAAAGAAGTAAAGTCTACCCCACATTTTTTGTGCCCCACTGTGTGGCACTTGGATGGCAGAGATTAATACCAGACAGAAAGTACAGACTGCCACTGGCAGGGAAATGTGGAGAGAACTATCTGTAGGGTTACAGGTCTGTTAATTGCATCCCATATTTTTATTTACAGGACATAGCTCGCCTATTGCAAGAGAAGGAGTTACAGGAGGAGAAAAAACGAAAGAAACACTTTCCGGAGTCCTCTGGAGTCAGTGCTTATGGAGATAGTTACTATTACGAAGATGGAGGTAACGAAGTCCAAATCATGACCTTCTCTTAGAGTCAACCGAAGATACCCTTTGCAGTTTCTCCCAGACACCTTTCCAATTAGGGGTGGGATTCTCTATGAACCTGCTGAATTCACCACAGCCATTTGTATGTCTATTAAAGCTTGAAAGTGGTGGTTGTAAGACAGGATGGGGCTTTTAAAATTTACACTGTAGCTATTTAGAATGCTACCTTCAGTTGGGTGGGGAAGTGACAGATAAGTCTCTGGACTTTCTCGAGGAAATCAGGACAGTGCTGTTCGAAAGAGCAGAGTGGAGTGGGTAGGGAAGAAGGCACACTGTCTATCAGTTGCACTATGAATTGGCGACAGAGCTTTTACTTCTATGTTGGCTTTCATATCTTGACCAATGAATTTAGCCTGCTAATGACAAAATGCTATTTTAAGATTCTTTGCTCATCTTTTTCTCTGATGCTTTCTTTGCTGTTTGAATCCCATATAGAAACATTTCTGAGGAAGAGGCATTTCTCTTCGAAGATGGGTTTCTCTCAGCCTGCTTTTGCAGCGTGATGATGGTGATGGTGCCATGTTGACAATTGTGGTGGTGGTCATTTGTTGTCTGAAAGTGTGTTGGGAAATGAGTATTTGCAAGCATTACTTTTTTCTTTTGAAATATCATAGTCATGCTATTTCCTTTAGTTTCTAGTGTCAGTATTTATTGAAGTTTTGCTTGGAGATCATAGAATAATTGGTATATGAAAGCTAAAGACAGCCTATAGCAGAAGTGGGGAAACTTTTTTCTGCCCTGGTCCATTTTGGATATTTACATCATCATCGGGCCATACAGTTTAGGTATACAGGCCACAGGCAACTCATAAATTTAGGTATCTGTCTAATCATGTGCCTTGGCCAGACCACATGATTTTGCCAGCCTTATACAACCCACAGACCAAACAATACCCATTTCTGCAGAAAACAAAGATTTTCAAGTCAGTGATTCTTAAAGGTTATTTTGCTACTTAAATGTTACTTGCTTCTCTGTAATCTCATTACCTACCAAGGTAGGTAGGTCGTTGTCTTTGATGAGACTAAAGGGTATATGTAGATGAGATTAATACAATTGAGTCCTGTCTTGCCCAGTCACATTGTTGCTCTAAGTGTATAATAATCAGTAGAGCTCAGATCTTTGGCGTAATTAGTAAGTAGATTGACTGTTACTCGGGGACTCTTCTTCCATTTACAGAACTGTTCAGCCCTTTCTTGATAATCAGTTTCCATATTCTGTGTTTTCAAATGAAATCATGTAGTGTGTTGTCTATAAGATTTTATTTTATTGTTCTAGAGACCAGAAAGTCAAGAGTTACTCTTCAGTTTTGTTATGTTAGAAATGGAGCCTGGTGTTTTTCATTTATTTTTATTTTTAATTCTGTCCTGGAGGCATGTTAGCTACACATGGAAGTCATCATTGAAGACTTTCAAGTCTGTGAAAGCATTAGAGAGACAAGTCATGAATTATATTGAACTATAACTTTAGACTGCCTCTTTAAAGCCTTATATTTTCTTGTATTGGGACTGTTAACCTGATAATGTGGACCAGGGTATCAGCATTCAAAATTCATATCTCCAGCATAGGAGATGTTTAAGAATGAAGTGGTTGGGGTTGGAATGATAACATAGTTGGTCAGGTGCTTGCCTTGCAAGAGGCTGATCTGGGTTCATCTCCCAGAGCCCACCAGGCCTGTGATCCCTTGGATCAGTACAGAGCCAGGAGTAAGCCCTGAGCACAGCTGGGTATGGCTCAAAAAACAACACTCCCCCCCCCCCAAGTTATTTTAGGAATACCGAAAATAGTCTTTTTTAAACTGCTTTTATATGAATGAGTAGAAATAGCGTATTTGTTTGTTTTGGGGGGAAGTTTAGGAGACATTGAAATAGTGTCTTCCTGCCCATTTACATGTAAACATTGGAATTTCTTCTATTTTAGTGTCCTGTCGGGAGATTATATGTTGTTGATATGTGGTTCTAATATAGATACCTTTTGAGTGAGACCAAGTTGAATGAGGTTCCATTGGAACCTCATTGCAGCGTTTACATTCTTTGCAGTGATTCTTTCCCAACACATAAGGGGTATATTTTGATGCTGTTTCTCATTCTATGTGCAATACTGATTTTGCCTTTCATTAAGAATCACCATATAGCATTACAAAGTGATCTTTTTAGCTCTGATTTTACTTAAGCTTTAATAAATTATCTTTCTCGAATCATCATTTTATAGATTTCAATAATTTTTTTAATTATTCAAAATACCTCAGGATTACTGAAAGGATCTGTCTTACTCTTTAAAGAGCCCATGTTTCTCTTGCAAAGACTTACAGGCCTATAAGCGACTTTTCCAGTTGTGGTCTTTGGAGTCGTATAACTTTGGTTTAATTTTTATCCCTTTCATTTAAGGATAATTTTAAGGATGTTAGCTACTATGATCACTCTGAGTATTAATTACATCTGAAAAATCTTAATTTTTTTAGATTATTATAAATTATACCTAAAATCTTATTTTGAAAGACAAACATGGAAGCTCACAAATAAAATGTATGCATATATATATGTATATATATATATGCACACATGCTTATGTGTATTGACCATGAAGAAATTAATTATATTTGCCAAATAACTGACTGACCACAAGAAATATACAAGTCTCAACTCTTAACTGGATCGGATGTTTAGGAATTTATAGATACTCATTCCTAGGTTTTTCCCTCCCTTTTCCCTCCTTTTAAACTCCTATATGTTTAATTTAATGAGTGACAGCTTCTGTTCTTATTTTTGCAATGCATTACTTTAACTCCCTGAAGTAAAACTACTGATACGAGTTCACAAAAATCACAAATCATCCTGTTATTCGTCGATTGCCTCGAGCAGGCCCCAGTAACGTCTCCTTCATCCTAGCCCTGAGATTATATTCAAGGCTCTTTAGGAGAATGAGACCCATCATTGTTACTGGTATTTGGCATATTGGGTACGCCACGGGGAGTTTGCCAGACTCTGCCGTGTGGGCAGGCTACATTCGGTAGCCTGCCATTAAAACTAGAAAAGATGATATGAGTTAACTTTTTTAAATAATCAAAACAGCAACAAAACACTCATAACCTCACAAGTTCATATCAAAAACAGAACCTTCCTTTGGGACTTAATGGCAGACTTCACCCATGTGGAATAGTGGTGTTGACACTGTAAATCATTTTCCTTGGTATGATTATTTAAGTACCTAGTCAGTATTACAGGTTATATTAATTCACAGTAGTAATTTAATTTTTTCCCAGTTGTAAACTTATGCTTAGTAGTTTGGCTAAAAGAGTAGATAACAAAAACAGTAGATGACATTTTTATGTCTCTTTTTGGCACAGAGTAATATTTTAATTTTTTTTGCTCTTTCTGTAAAAATTAAGTTAACCATAAATAATACAAATTTGTTTACAGAAACCTTCAAGGACATATTTAAATTTTGACTCAAATTTGTTTTTCTTTTCTGGGAAGTTTAAGAGAAACGATTAGAAGATTTTGATGGAATCTTATGGCATCAAAGATGTACTTAGCACATACTTTGCTCAGCTTCTGTTGTATTATTAGTTCAGCATACCAAAGCATCAACATACCAAATTCACAACAGAGCAAAGCAACAGCAATAGCTACAAGTTAGAGAATGTGTAGACTTATATTTCCCTGTATCATATTAACTTAGGTAAATCTTTTATGTGCATTTCAGCAAATCACTACTCCCAGCAGAGAACATATAATATATTCTCATGTTTTAACATTTTTTCTTTTATTATTGCCAAAATGCATTCTTAGGAAATGTTCAAATCCATATTCTCTTGCAGATTGCATATGAATTTACTTTGTTTTGCCAGTATTTTTTTTTGCCACTTAATTGAGCTGTGACAGAAGCACCCATTTATATGTTGATTTTAAAACCCCCAAGTATTAACTTGGGGGCTTATATATTTAGTACTTGCTATTTTTTAATGAAAAGCACATCATACAAAATGTTTTAATGTATTTAGGATGTGATGTTTTAATGTTTTCCATTGTCACTGTCACTGGCACTCCCCTTGTTCATCGATTTGCTCAAGCGGGCCCAGTAACGTCTCCATTGAGACACTTGTTACTGTGTTTGGCATATCGAATACGTCACGGGTAGCTTGCCAGGCTTTTCCTAACAGGCGAGATACTCTCGGTAGCTTGCCCGGCTCTCCGAGAGGGACGGAGGAATCGAACCTGGGTTGGCCAGGTCAGCTGCATGCAAGGCAGACGCCCTGTGCACTGTGCTATTGCTCTAGCCCAGTGTATTCCATTATGGCATTTAATTTTCAATTTTTTTTCTTCTGCCAAGAATAATTTTGAACACAGGTCATATAACAACAGTGGCCATTTACTCACTTAAAATTTTCTTTACTTCATAATCTTCCTCATATTTGCTATAACACTAAAAAAAATTTCTTCCACCTAAGGGTAGAAGATTGAGAAATGCTAAAGCAGTGGATCGTTTTTCCGAATTTAACGTTTTAACATAGATGCTTGTCATTTCAAATGAAAATATTTGAAAGCCTCAGGCTGTATTTACAAAGGTTAGGGTTCGGTTTTAATAAGATTCCTTGAAACTCCATTTCCCCCTCTAGTTCCAAATTAATTTTATAGATAGAATTTAACATTTATTGATGTAGTTTTTGTTATTGGCAAATATTTACTAAAAACTTTCCCTAATCACAATCAAGGTCTTCTTTTAGATTTATTTCACATAGTTTTATTTTAATTGTTCACCTTCTTATCTGTGTATTCGTAAGAGTAATTCTTCAGATATCCATGGTACAGTTCAGTAAACGCCAAACCCCTTTAGTGTGTTAAGTTGAAAAATAGTAGTTTCCATTGAAAAATAGTAAATGTGGGCCCTGTTTATCCCCTGTGTAGTGAGTTCATTCTCTCACTAAGTTAACTTGCATTTTTATTTTCCACATTCCTCCACCTCAACTCAGACCAGCCTCAGTCAAGGAGGGCAAGGGAATTGGGGTCTGGATTCCCAAGGTCTTGTAGACTTGAAAGTGATGAAAAAACTGGGAAACGGAGGAAGGAGAAATTAAAACATCGGCCGGAGAACTTGGATGTGCCAGAAGAACACTCTTCAGCAGAGAAACCTCTGTCATCCCCTAGTAGGGGGAGAGTCAGAGAACATTCTCGAATGGATACTGAGCATCATGAAAGGAAACGGCCTGATCTTGAACGGCCACGGAGACCACCCCTGCCCAAGATCCACGGGGAGGTGTTTCTCAGTACTGAGTCTGATGACTGTGAAGCGAACAGTGGCTCTCGAATCTGGAATAGGGACAAACAGTCCGGACACCCAGCTCGTCTTTCGCCCAAGTCCTTACAGAAAGTAGGGCTTCCTTACACGGAGGATGTGTGTGGGAGAGACCGCGGGCAAGGTGAGCAAAAAGAGAGGAAACACAGGCCCAGGACTCCTCCCTTTTCAGAGAGTGAAAAATGGCTTCGACCTCCTGGCACAGGTAATAAAGGACAATCTTGTTGGAGGAACTGGTATCTTAGATACATACAGACATATTGAATAAGCATTTAAGCACCCTGTTCTTTCTCACCAGTTTGTGCCCATGGCTTGGAAATAAATCCTGGAGCCAAATATTACAAAAGGTATTTATTTTTCTCTCATGTGTAGAAAGGCGGGAGATACTTGTATCTTTCCCCATCTGTCTTCTAAAAGAACGTGTTGATTATTTAGAAGATTCTTCCAGTACACTGCTGGCTTCGCCGTTCACACGTCCTGTTCTTCATGTGCCCTTACTCTGTCGCTGTTGGAATTTTTAATATGAAGCAAAGCTTTCCAATTTCTGGTTTCAGTTTAGCGAACCCTGAAGATCTTGTGACATTGCCTTTGAAGTATTTGCATAATTAGAAAACAAACAGATCCAGAAGCACTAGATTTTCTTCATCCATCTTTCTCATCTGTAAAGTGAGATGTTACATAAACCTCCTAAGAAAACCTCTTTTCAGAGTGGGCATTTATTATTTATTTAGTTTTTTGAGAATCAATAGAGTTATTTTTCAAATAATGCAGTTTTAGGGGTTCTGCATATGTCATCCTCTCTGGAGTGTAGCCTGTTTATGCTTATTCTAGGATTGGAGGTGACTGTTAGTTCTTAATAGGTTTAAAAACCATTACCCTAATTTACTTTCCATGTTCTCAACTAACTCAACTCTGATTCTTTAATTGAATTGGCATTTTAAAGTTCCAATAGCAGGCAAATTATTGACATTTGTACAAGAATGAGATGAATGAGTGTAATGAGACTAGCTGCATGGCGAGCCAGAGAGAGTACAGCAGGCTGGGCACTTGCCTTGCACACAGCCAGCCCGGGTTCTATTACTGGCTTCCCATATGGACCCCCAAGCACTGCCAGGAATAATTCCTGAGTGCAGAGTCAGGAGTAAGCCCTCATGAGTATGGCCCCAAAACAAGACAAAACAAACACAAAAACTTAAACCACAAATTTTTGTCATCTGTGAGAGTTACTTCTGAAGTCACCATTGGCACGGTTCTTTCTGTTCTTGTTTGGAAACTTGCTTTTTGCCTGTACCACCTAAAGGCTTACTTAGCTCTGTCTGGCGTTTTAATTAGACCGTATTCATTTTGCAGGTTCATTTTGCTCATTAACATTTTACAAAGTGGAAGAGTTATTGGGGAAAAAAAGGAGGCATCTGTCCTTAAATTCTTTCTTGTTGCTGCCCTGCCAAACTCTGCTTCTGTTCTGGAAGCTGATCACTAGGTTGTTGACTCCGGTTGATTCAGCTGGTTCTTCCTGTTATGTCATTTTCCGTTAAGGGTTTAGTCATTTGGAAAAAAAGAAAAAACAGTTCGGCAAACCATCCTGAGGAACTCTCACCAAACATTCTTGTCTTGGGATCAGACTGTTAGAGTGTTAATAAATAAACTGACACCCCAAATTGAGAAGTGAGTTGCAGATGCACTTTGAACGGAGAGCTGTAGAGGCATAAAGGAGGAAGAGAGTAGACTTGATAAGCGATATATACTTCACACATGCAGTGTCTGGGTTTTCAAAATCTCATTGGAGTTGTAAAAGTGTGGGATGGGATGGTGATTACACTGACTTCCACGTTTCTGACTCTAGGAGCCTGACCTCAGAATTGTGTTCTGAGAGGATACTAACCTTTACTGCTTTTGGTGATTCCTGAGAATATCTTAGGAAGTTTGAAACTACTATGACTAAACATTGATTTGTAGACACTACTGTTGGGTTTGTAAACAAGTGTATTTGTTTTGCCAAGACAGGTACAGCCCTTTAAAAAAAAAACTGTGCGGCACGTATCAAAACAGTTAGACAGTGTAGCTGCTGATATATAATTTTTTGTGTTCGTTTTATAAATTTTTCCTTTCTTGTCTCTTCTATCTTACGTAGTACATAATTACTATCTGTTGATGTCACTGAATGTTTTTGTTGACTTTTACTTTTATGAAGTAACATTGGTTTATAATAGTGTAAGTGTTTGTTTTAGAGATACAGTGCTACCATTCCAAAGCCACCGCCACAGTGCCAGTATTCTTCCACTATAGTCCATTGGAACTTTTCAGCTCATTTCTTCACCTCTTGGTAAATACTCTTTATTTATTATTTTTTTAATTGTTCCACCCAAGTGGTACAAGCTGGGGCTCCGGGACTGTTCCAGGGCTTCTCAGCTAACTGGCCTGGTTCAGTGAGAAGGCTCCAAGGATGACGTGTTGCCCAGGTCTGAGGTGAGGAGGTTACCCAGGCCCCTGAGGTGATATTTTGGGCTACAAAACCACATCCAGCAAAGCTCATGTAGTGGTAGAAATTGTACCAGGATTGTCCACATGCAAGGCACGTGCCTTTAACCCCTGAAACTATCTCTCTGCCTCCTCTGCCTCTCCACAACTTTCTCCACAGCTTTCTTTTTAGCTTACGTATGAGTGAAATTATACAGTATTTGTCTCTTTCCTTCTGACTTAGCTTTACTTAGCACAACCCCCTCTCCACTTTCATCCAGGTTATAACAAAAGGTAGAGTTTTATCTTTCCTTATAGCTCAGTTATATTTCATTCTGATTAGATACCATATCTCCTTCCTCCACTCCTATGTCTTTGAGCATTTGGGTTGTTTTTAGATCTTGGCTCTTGTAAATAGCATGAGAATGAACATAAATGTGTATTCCTCTCAGATTCCTTTCTGTTCTTTGGATCGATGTTTAGGAGTGAGATTGTCTTGTCGTCTGGTAATTATTTTCAGTGTTCTTGTGAAATTTCTAAACTGTTTTCCATTGAAGTTGAAGCAATTTATATTCCTACCAACAGCTTATTATTTCTATCTGCAAGCCCCTTTTTTTTTAATTAAGAAAAAGGGCCATTCTTATAGGTTAGAAGTGATTTTGATTTGCAGCTTTCTTTTTATATGTGTCTGTTCAACTCTTTTCCCCATTCTTTACTGTTTTGTATTTTTGTAGTTGTTGAGTGAGTGAGTATTTTGTATATCTTGCTCTTGGTCGTTTGGTCAGTCATATGTTGTGTGAATATTTATTCCCTTTCGGTAGGGTGTCTTTTTATTTTTAAGTATGGCTTTCTTTCACCTTGCAAAAGCTTTTGTGTTAGCTATAATACCATATATTTTATTTTTTTTCCTTGCCAGTGGAGTCCAGTCACTTGAAGACACTAGTAAAGCAAATATAGTGAAAGGATTTGGCGATGTTTTCTTCAGTGGCTTTATGGATTTGGGTCTAATGTAATGCTGTTCTTAATCCACTTTGAGTTAATTTGTAAATGGAGTGAGATAGTAGTTCAGTTTCATTCTCTTCCACATTTCTTAACATTTGCTCGCCTAATCCAGTATTCTGTTTAAGTTAATAGTGAACAGACTCTCCGGGAAACAAAGAGCTAATGTTAAAGGCATTTGCCACATTGTGAATCATGGTGTTTCCCTGAAAACAGGAAAATACAATAAGTTAAAGACTTTTTCAGGAGAGTATCTTACAGAGGCATTTGAAAACGGAGAGTAGAACACAAAATTGGCTGACTCTCCGAAGGGCAGAAGAACTGTATCATCATTGAGGGTAACTTTCTCTTGAGCTACCAAATTGTAGTAGCTTATTTCCTGCAGACTAACATTCAGCTTCTTAGAGCTATAAGATATCTACACGTTTCTGCTGTGATATTCCCCAAGTATCACAGTTTTTTTTACAAAAATATTTTACATAATATCAAATAATTTATCAATCATTTATGGTTTTTTTGCCTCAGTCCTTGCATGGAATAAATTTATGTGGAATACTTTACTTAAGGGAATTTCATCTTAGTCTATCAGAATTTAATTTAGAGATATTTTGCTTGTTGGGGGGAAGTTTACTTGTTCAGTCTGAAGGATGATGAACAGAGAGATTGAGCAGGAGTTTAAGCAGTGAACCTGGAACTGCTGAAAATATGACTCACATTGTCTTTTGTAAGTGAGTTTCCATATTATGCTTAAGAAACCAAGATGAGAACTCTAGCTTTCCATTCATTTTCTTCTGTAATGTATTGAATGTTTAGAGACATTTTAAAGCATATGTTTTCTGTAATGATAATTCTACCCTAATCTGATATTTCTTCTTACACATTCTTAGAAAATATTTTTACCTCTGGTACAGAGACCATTATACTAAGTAGTTGGTCCTGCCAGTCCAGAAATCTAATATTGTGAACTGTGGAGGTTTTCTGATATTAAATGGTATCTGTGGTGTTGCTGATATATCAATTTCTAATAAACGTTTCCCTCTAGGTATTTAAGGCCTAGAGAGATACTGCCTTAAATTCTGACTTACTTAGTGGGATTTCCCTCATTTTATTATCAAGAGATCACACTATGAAACCATCCAACTACAGAACACTGTTCATTTGACTATTTAATGTCATCCTAAAGTCTTTGGCAGAATTTTAAACAAAGAATTTTTCTGTTAAAATTCTATACTACAGACTTGAAGGCATAACAGTGGAGAAGGGTTAGTGTCTTAAAATTCTAACACATCTGTGGCCAGAGACATTATACAGGGATAAAGTGCTTTCCTTGCACGTGGTCAACTCTCTAGTTCAAACCATGGTACCACGTATGGTCCACTGAACACTTCTAGGGGTGATTCTGGACAACAGAACCAGTACTGAGCCCTGAGCTTTACTGGGTGTGACTCACCCCCCCCCCCCCCATTACACACTTACCCACCAAAATTTGGCATATTGCACTGTTACTTATTTATTTATTGCTGGATGACAGAACAGAAGGAACCAGGCATCATTGGTTTTTCCTGAAATCCTCAACAAGGCTTTACACTGAAATATTCCATTATTTATGGCAATCATTTTACCAGTGTTTCTCTTTATAAGCTTTCTCTCTAATTTCATTCATTTCTCAGAAAATCTTCTTTTTAGATTCATATTATAGTAATTTAATCATAACTTAAGGAAGGTTCATATTCCATTTTAATATGGTCCATTCTTGAGAGTGCATTACAATTACTCTGCTGTTCTAAATCACTTCAAAAACTGCATTATAACGAGTGCAGAACAGCAAAAGGATTGTGAGTTCTAGGGCCAGAGAGATAGTATGGTGGGTAGGGTGCTTGCTTTGCACGTGGAAGACCTGGTTTTGATCCCCAGTATCTCATATGTTCCCAAAAGCCCCTCATAACACAGAGCCAGGAATAACCTCTGAGCATCGCTGGGTGTGGCCCACAAAACGAAAAAACGAAAAGAAAAAAACTCGTTAATTCAAAGGTGATATGAAGTAGGAAGAGGATTATGTATCTGATTAATAGACCTAAAGCTTAGAATGTTAGGGTTTTCCTTTTTACCATTTGTGGGAAAGACTGATAAGCAAGTGACCTAGGGTTTTACCATAAAACTAGTCTTGGAAATCTACAAAGAGATGCTTTCAAGGCTTTACACTGAAATATTCCATTATTCTTGGAATTTGGCTTTCTCCCCTCCAGAGAAGCCTGTGTTCTCTTTTGAATATGTATCTCTCTTTTTTTCTCTACCCTCACATTTCTCCAGATTTCTTTCAATGAAACTGTTTTGCTTGACTTGATTAGAAAAAGTGACTTCACACGATAACTTTATTTTTGTCTAGAAATGAAGTGGCATTTTTTTTGTATTTTGAAAATAAGTGAATTATGTACAGCGAGGCATTTTGATAAAAAAATGTTTTGTTGTGTGGCTATTTTGATAGTTATAAATCACTTAGCTGATATTGTTCCAAAGCTACCTGCAGATAACTAGTAAGACTCAAAAAAACAAAGGCCTGATCTCATCCAGTGAACTTAAATTAGAATCTCTGGTGTTTAAAGCAATGATTTGTTTATATTATTTTAAGCATTTCCAAAGTATTCAAAAGTATACCCATGGTTGAGAACCATTGGTGTTCAAGAAATAGGCAGTTGGAATACATGTCCCTCTCCTGTCAGTGAGTGATGTAGTTACTGGAAGTGACCATTTTAGGTGGCAGTCTTGTTCATTATATTAAAAATATATGTATCTGAATATTGCATGTTCACATTGTTGAATAATTGTAATTTATAAAGGGCAAAAAGGGGATAATATAGTTTTGAACACTATTGAATCAAAAGTTAAAACATGGAGTTATATTCTGCTTACAGAATTCCAATATGAAAGGCCCTAGTTCCCCCATGTTTCTTTCTCTTCAGGGGAAGAGCACGTGAAGGTTGTTGTGCTCTGCTATTTCCTTTATGTTGTATTTCCTTCCGATTTAGCAACCGTTCCTAACTGAAGAGGTCTCAAGCAGGTGAGTTTATTGACCATTAGTTTTGAACCAGGTGCTGTCACTTACTCCAGTTGTTTCCTCCCCTCTGAACTCAGGTCTTCCAGACCCAGGCAGATAGAAGGAAACAGCCTTTTCCTTCAGCCTTCAAAGCTTAGCCTCTTTAGAACTCTAAGTCTGTAACTTTCTTTTCTCTAAATTCTTTTTATATCAGTGACTACATCTTTTTCTTTCTCTTTTCCACTTCCTACTTTGCAAAGGCCTCACTTAACAGTTCCTTGCTCGATTTTCTGCAGTTGAAGAAACTCTGTGAGAGGGGAGTTTCTACCAGGCAAGTTTGGGTGGGTAACCATGTTTAATTGTCTAGATTATGTACATCGCAAGTTACATTAAGAAAACAAAAACTTAATTTCAGTTGCACCCTGTACTGAATTTTGAATGGAGGCAGTATTGTTAGTGTTCAATACAAAAGAAAGGTTCCTCTATCATAAATTTTGCAATTTTTCAGAAAACAGCTCAGTTGCCTTATTACGCTGAGGTTTATTGTTATTTTTAAGGAGTGAAACCAAGAGTGATGAAAGACGCGGTCTCTACTTCATCCCGAGTGGCCCATAGAGAACAGGAATGGTATGATGCTGAAATTGCCAGAAAACTGCAAGAAGAAGAAATTTTGGTGAGCAAATTTTTATTGCAAACGTTCAGGTAAATCAGTAGGTTTTGTGAATTGAATCATTCTTGACATTTTATAGTAAATGTATATTATAGTCCTCAGTCATTTGGAAAATGGATAAGTGTGCGTGTGCATGCGTGTATGTGTGTGTGTGTGTGAGAGAGAGAGAGAGAGAGAGAGAGAGAGAGAGAAAGAGAGAGAGAGAGAGAGAGAGAGAATTAAGATAACAGGAATATTGCCCAGTTTTATATATTGAGTAAGCGCTAGGAACAGAGCTCAGTATATCTATTTATCATTGCATTCTGCTAGTTCGCTAAGAACTTGCTATAGGATTGCAAAACAGGCTCTGCTAAACTGGTCATCTATAAAAATATGCCAGCTCTTAATTCATTGTCAAGCTCAGGGATTTTCATCACCAACTTTTCAAATGTCAGTGTAATTTTGTGTCAGATTATTTTAAATGTACATTGTGAATTTCAATGATGTGCTAGCTCTTCCTTTTGTATTTTCTGTATCACAGGCTACCCAGGTCGACATGAGAGCAGCTCAAGTAGCGCAGGATGAGGTGAGCTCATATTTGTCAGTGAATTTCTTTTGCCAGATTTCTTTGAAAGAGCCAGCAGCTCTGCAATTAATGATGTGGACTCAATTTTGTGTAGGAAATTGCTAGACTACTAATGGCTGAAGAAAAGAAAGCTTATAAGAAAGCCAAGGAGCGCGAGAAATCATCTTTGGACAAAAGAAAGCATGACACTGATTGGAAGGTAGGAGCTCATTTTTTTGTTTTTAACTAGGAATAAAATTTTGAATGAAAAGAGGCCACTGAAACTGAGTTCATATTCATGGTGGAATTGTTATTTAAGTGTTGTTCTCACTTGAACAGATTCCTCCCTTGGTTCTCTGATTTTCTCATGGTCTCAGCATTGGTTGTGAGGAAAAGGATACAGCAATCATAACAGTATCATTCTACTGTTTCCTGTTTCTCATTGACTTCAGTGTTGGTTTTAAAACCCCTGCAGGGGGCTGGAACGATAGCACAGCAGGTAGGGCATTTGCCTTGCATGTGGCCAACCCGTGTTCGATTCCTAGCATCCCATATCATCCCCTGAGCACCACCAGGAGTAATTCCTGAGTGCAGAGCCAGGAGTAACCCCTGAGCATCACCAGGTATGACCCAAAAAGAAAAAAAAAAGCTGCAGTTATTATTTCCAGGTTAATTAAATATATATTTATCTCCCTCTTTGACTCTCTTGATAATTCAGAATTTTTAGTTCCCTAACAAACATATGTATTTCATTCTAGTAGAACAGATTCTAAATGCTTGTGTTGCACTAAATTAAGCCACAAATCACCAAGGAATGATGCAAATTCTTAACTCTGCTGGAGTGGGTGTTTTTAGGGATGAACTATTTGAAACATAAAGAGAATACCACACTTCTAAAATGGGCCAGGACTTCTGCACATCTTCAGCTTTATGATGATGCCATTATAGTTTTAGTGGGTGTGTTTGTTTTAATCTAGAAAAAATGATTTGACTGTATCATGCTCCTTGACAAGGTAGTGTTCCATGGACCTTGGAAGTCCACTTCCCTGTCAGCTGCTGTGCAGCTATTTTGTGAATGATGGATGTCTGAGTACTGCTTTGTGATGGAGCATGGCTGTGCATATATATGGTTGCACCAATAGTTTTCCACGTACCTTTGTGAGAACAGTCTTCTTAAAAATCTCTTGAATGGCCATCTCTTTAAATAATTTATATTGCTTCGATGAATGTAAATAACCTGAGGAGTTTGGCATTATTGTTTTAGTCCGATCTTTTTCTCTGTTGTTTCTGTATGATTATTTGTTCTTTTTTTTTTCTTTTTTTTAGCCAAAAACAACTAAATCTACACACTCAAAGTCAAAGGAGAGTGATGAACCACAGCGTTCTAAGAATGACAGGCCAGCACGGTAAGATAACACCGGAAAATCAGAAGGAGGAACTTGACTTGAGTTGAGTGTGAGCTTAGAGATGTTGCTTTACCCAAGAAGAGAATTTTTTTATTGAAGAGGGAGATCCAGAAGTCTGTTGCTGTGCAAGTCTTACAGGATTGTTCTCAAACTTCTCTTTTCTTTCCAATCTTCTGTTTTGGCTTGAACAAGTTAAAGCAGAAAAGTCAGGAATTTTACAAAAGCTAGAGTGTAGAAGGGAGGTGTCTGCTCCTTCACTGTTGGTGGGAATGTCCACTGGTTCAGCCCTTCTGGAAAACACTATGGACGATTCTCAAAAAATTAGAAATTGAGCTCCCATTTGACCCAGCAATACCACTCCTGGGAATATATCCCAGAGAGGCAAAAATGTATAGTCGAAGTGACATCTGCACTTGTTTGTTCATTGCATCACTCTTTACAATAGCCAGAAACTGGAAGAAACCTGAATGCCCAAGAACAGATGACTGGTTAAAGAAACTTTGGTACATCTACACAATGGAGTACTATGTAGCTCTTAGAAAAGATGAAGTCATGAAATTTACATACAAGTGGTACAACATGGAAAGTATCATGCTAACCGAAATGAGTCAGAAAGAGAGGGATAGACATAGAAAGATTGCGTTCATCTGGGGGATATAAAGTAACAAAGTATGAGATTAATACCCAAGAATAGCTGAGATCAGCACCAGGAGGATTACTCCATAACTTAGAGGCCAGCCGGGTATCCTAGAGGAAAGGGCAGTTCAGATAGAGAAGGGAGCACCAAATAAAGGATGTTTGGAGGATCCTCCCAGGAGGGGAGATGCATGTCGAAAGTAGACTATGGACTGAACATGTTTGCCACTCAATGCCTCTTTTGCAGACCACAACACCCAAAAGGAGAGAGAGAACACAGGGGATTGCCCTGCCACAGAGACAGGGGGGATGGGGGAATGGGGGTGGGAGGGATATTATCCATGGTGGTGGAAAATGGGCACTGGTGGAGGGATGGGTATCTGATCATTGTATAATTAAAAAAAAAAAAAGGGAGGTGTCTGTTTCAAAGGAGGCCTTGAACTGAGACGGGAGGAAATGATCTACTCTCCCAAGAAAAATGTCAAGTTTTAATTTTCACTGACTTTCATGATTACTTGTGTGTGTGTATGACATTGACACCCATGTATCCTGATTACTACGAATTTCAACACTCAAGGCAAATAATTCATTTAAGTCATTGCATCCTGTTCTATGTGTCCTGGAAGTAGTAGCTCTAGCTATGGTATGAAGGCTTCCTGAATACTTCCAGGCAAGCTACATCAAATTGATATAGCAGGAGGGATCTTTAAATAACAAAAGACAAAAGTAACACTAAAACTAGTATTTTCAAAGCCTTGAGTTATTAAAACCTTGAGTGTGGGTCCTGACTATTAGTATCATTATTCTTTATATGTAAGTTTTGTCATGCCGAAAAATACACAGTATTGTTGCTATTCACTACCCACATTTAAGCTGCCAGACTTCTTTCTTAAAGTGGGCATATTGAGTGTCTTCAAGTGTCATTTGCTGTTTTTACACTTACGGACTTTCAGGGGATAATTATATGAGGTCTTAAAACTGAGACTGCTGTAGTATAGCCTTCTCTAATTTTATGAAATTGATTCTTCTTATAACTTATTTAGTTAAGCTCATGACACAATTTTTTAAGGCAAATTTAAGAATCTCCATTCAGATTTAGTTATTTCCTGTATTGTCCAAGTAAAACGAGAAATAGGCAGTATGTAGTATGTTCCCCGTGTGTAACTAGTGTGGTTTATGAATTAGTGTGGGGGGTGGGGTGGGGACATAGTTTGGGGACACATCAGTGGTGCTCAGGACTTCGTCCTGGCTCTGCACTCAGGAATCAGTCCTAGCTGGCTCAGGGAACCATATGGGACACTGGGCACCAAACCCGGGTTGGTGCACGGGAAGCACTTTACCTGTAGTACTATCCTCCAGCCCCTATTATTGCTTTATGAATCAGGTGAATCTAATAAAGTCAAATCACCTGTAGGTTGACTTCAGGCATCTTGCAGTCTTCACTGTTCTTGTGCTTCTTAGAACACCTACTTTGACATGCAAATATATGTGATACAACAGTGTAGACTTGCAATGAAAAATATTAACAAAGCAGGTTTCTAGAATGTAATAGGTATATTTTAAGATAATAAGTATTTCTAAAAATACCCGTCATGTTGAGGGACCAGAAAGTACAAGTGTCTAAGGTTTGCATGGAACTGACCTTGGTTCAATCCTCAGAACCACAGGTGGTACCCCAAGCATTATCTTGAGTGATCCCTGATTACAGAGCTAGGAGTAAGCCTTGAGCACTGCTGGGTATAGCCCCCAAATTTGTTACATTTAGTGAATAAGCAAAGATAGCACAGCGGTAGGGCGTTTGCCTTGCACGCAGCCAACATGGCCGACCCGAGTTCGATTCCTCCGTCCCTCTCGGAGAGCCCGGCAAGCTACCGAGAGTATCTCGCCTGCACGGCAGAGCCTGGCAAGCCAGCCATGATGTATTCGATATGCCAAACACAGTAACAACAAAGTCTCCAATGGAGACGTTACTGGGCCTGCTCGAGCAAATCGATGATCAACGGGAGGGCCTTTTTATTATTACTGAACAAAAAGTGACATGTGATGAGTAGATCTTTTTCTAGTCTTTTTACATCTTAAGAGGAACGTTTACTTTTAAATACCTGTCACTGTCATTGTGCTCCCGTTGTTCATCGATTTGCTCAAGCAGGCCCAGTAATGTCTCCATTTGTTGTTACTGCGTTTGGCATATTGAATACATCACAGGGAGCTTGCCAGGCTTTGCCGTGCAGACGAAATACTCACGGTAGTTTCCTGGGCTCTCTGAGAGGGGTGGAAGAATCGAACTCGGGTTGGCCATGTTGGCTGCATGCAACTTTTAAATACCATTACAGAAAATTATATTATTGAAACAGTAAGAATTTTTGAAACCTGCATTTCATAATTAAAAAGCAAAACCTTTTCTCATAGTTATATACATGTATAAATATGTACATTTATATGTGTGTATGTATTTCTATGATGTGAAAATGTATGCCTTCTAACTATGATGGGAAAATATAGTTAGGCTTTTGTTCAAGGATTGGAAAACAGGAAACTTTGTAGGACTTCTTATTCTTCCTATGGAAATTGAAGAACTGGTTGTCAACCTGAATTTATTGCAACTCTTTGTAACTGAAAAGTTAAACCAAGTTCACATTTTTCTCACTATAGAATTTTGTGCTGGTAATAAATACTATGTTAGTCTATTTGCATTTTTCACTCAGAAAAAGTATTCTTCATGAAATCCTATCGGTAATAGTACTGTAAACCAAAGTGCAAAAACTTATTAAACTAAAACAAAACAAAATAAAAAAAAACTTTCTATAAAGGCAGACTGGTAATTGGGAGGCAAAAGGGGTGGCAAGGGTTGGGGTAGGGTTGAGGTGGCATTTTTTTTTTAAATAATATAAGAGTACTGCTGTTTGTTCAGCCATTGATTAAGCTGATTGAATTGGGCATCAGCTCCACACTACTTTTTTATTTTATTGTATCACCGTGAGATAGAGTTACAAAGCTTTCATGTTTGAGATTCAGTCATACCATGATGAAACACCCATCCCTCCACCAGTGCACATTTTCCACCACCATTGTCCCAAGTATCACCCCCCTCACATACATACAAATAACAGTCCTCACCCTGCCTCTATGGCAGACAATTTCCCCAATACTCTCTCTAATTAGGGACATTAATTTTGCTCGGGGCTGGAGCGATAGCACAGTGGGTAGGGCATTTGCCTTGCACATGACCAACTGGGCTGACCTGGGTCCAATTCTTCCACCCCTCTCGGAGAGCCTGGCAAACTGCCAAGAGTATCTCGCCTGCATGGCAAATCCCGGCAAGCTCCCCATGATGCATTCGATATGCCAAACACAGTAACAACAAGTCTCACAATGGAGACATTACTGGGCCCCCTCAAGCAAATTGATGAACAACAGGAGGACAGTGACAATGACAATTTTGCTCGAATTTTACCACCACCATTCAAGCCTACCCACAGGGGTAGACACTAGATAATATATTTTCCATAGCTCATTTCAAATATCACGAGAGCTCACGTGGACGTGATTGTAAACATCAATTTCTAAATTTTAAATGGTTGGGTTCCAGAGACATCCCTATATGGCACTAATTCAATTGGGAGCCTCTGGGCCAGGAATGTTGACGCGCTAAGGTGGCATCTGGAGGCAAATTGTGGGCGTGACAGCCAGTCTTCTGGGCAGGTGGTGACCTGGGGAGGGACAGCCCAGGTCCTCTGCCACCATGTGGCCTGGAGATTTAGTCTTGAACCCGCATACCTTGGCCTTGCTTTGAAAGCTCTTGGTCACCAGAATTCCATCTGCAGTAGGTGCGGAGACTGCACCTGCTCCATCCCGGTGACACTGACTCAGTATGGGGCCCAGAGAGATATCCAGTGCTGTGGTGTCATCTGGGACTTGTTGTTGTGTCTCTGGGCCAGGGCTGTTGTTGTGCTAAGATGGTGCCCGGAGGCTAATTGTGGAGATGACAGCCAGTATTCTGGGCAGGCGGGGACCCGGGGAGGGACAGCCCAGATCCTCTGTTGCCATGCAGCCTGGAGATGTAGTCCTGGAACCCGCATACCTGGGCTTTGCTTGTGGAAGCTCTTGGTCATCAGGATACCATTTGAAGTAGGCAGGGAGACTGCACCTGCTCCATCCAGTGATAATGGCTTGGCATTGGGCCCAGAGAGATCTCCAGCACTGTGGTGCCTTCTGGGACTTGCTGCTGTGTCTCCGGGCCAGGTGTGTTGGTGTGCTAAGATCCACATTACAAAATTGGGGTATAGTCGCAGTTTTGGATTGTGGAAGCAAGTGGCTGTTGGGGACTGTGCTTGGGCATGCATAGGCCAACCAGTCCCCTCCAATTTACTCCAGATTGTTCAGCCATGTATGGGTCTGAGCTTAACTCTGGCTTTTGATCTCTTTCGAGATATACTTAGGGATCTCTGCAGTAAGGCCAATAGTAGAGCTTACAGGGTGGTGCTGGAGTTGGTTCATGGGGGTGACTGCCAGTCCTTCCATGTGTACTGGGAAGTGGGGGAGGTAGCCCATCCCAACTCTGAGTGAGCTTGTGTAGCTGAGCCGGAGGTGGTTTGTGGATATGATCCCATATACCTACCTTTTGTCCATTTAATTTCTTGGTAAACTTGTTCCCAAGTTGTTGGGATCCGGCCAAAGGCACAGCAGCAGTTTCGGGGTATCAGGAAGCCTGAAGGCAACATCAGGCTGCTGATGCACTGGCCCCGCAGGTACAGGTTGACCTGTTGGCGGCACCATACACCCTGAGGTGGTATTTGATTGAGGCATGTGGACACAGTTGAAGAGATTGGTGTTATAATATTGTATGCTGAAAACCCAATTATAAATAACTTTGTCATTTCATGGCAACTAAAAATTTAAAAAAATGATTTTATTAATATCACTGAGGTCTTGTGGCATCTTGTGAGTATATTTGTGATCATTTACTCATTTGTTAGGTATTAGACACGTTAATTTTCATAAGACTTGAGAAAGTGGCAATCAAGAAGAAAAGTTTCAGACTCTCGTGAAGATTATAATATAAGCAAATGATTACACATAAAATGACTAATTTTTTTAAATACCATGAATGAAAAGTTTATGGTGTTTTAAAAACCTGAGACACTTATCTGGGTGAAGAGGGATCCTTCTTGAAGAAATGACCTTTGAGTGAATTGCGAAAGGTGCTTGGCTATATCATAACATAAAGATGCTTATCACATCACAACAACAGCAGGGCAAAGGGATCAGGCCATACAGAAGAACTTTAAAACAGACTTGGTTAACAAGAATTTTCCAAATATGGGTAGAATATTTTCAACTTTTAAACAGCCATCACAGTTACGTTCATTAGATAAAATCTCTTGTGGTAGGTTTTTTTTCCCCTGTATAAAACAAACTTACAGCTACCAGTCACACTTTCCCCAAATTTAATTGTGATCATTTCTATAGAGTGTATAGCAATATATACATTCTTATTTATTAGCGTCTCTACCTGTTCTAGACCCAGAGTACTTAGGAAGACCTGTTTCTTGGATCTCAATACGGAATTTGAAAATACTTGCCTTTATGCATAATAGTGTCCTGGGTAGCAAATTAATCATAAATTTCTAAACTTTGAAGTACATATACCATCTACATTGTATGTACAATAATACAAAACATATTAAATACGGTTATATATTTGACAGCTTTTCACCCTCACGTATTCCATGTTTTATTGCAAAGTTTGAGCATTATCTGACACAACAAAACATTTCATTCTTTATCGTTGTCAAATGTTTATAGGGAGTCTGTTGCTTAGTTACATTTATAAGTTTAGTAAAAATTTCCCCTTGTTTTGACTTTTCAATCTTGGCATGAAAAGTCGCATACATAAGACTCCTTTAGTAAGCTCTGCTTTGCCACCTAGTGGATGAAGGAACATTGCTCAAGTTTGTATACACTGATAGAATATCCTCTTCCCTTGTACCCTTCCTCCCTCCCTGAATTGTTTTACTCTGTTGCTAGGTTTTTCTTCTTAATTTCATTTTAAAAGGACTTGTAAGATAAAGTCATTAATCTAGGATCATAACCAGTTTAAATGGTCAGGAACTAACATAAGAATTCTAACACATTCTGACTTTGCATTTCTGCCAAAAGTATTTATACAACATGGTTCATGGAGATGTTGGGTTGAGTCATCACAAAGAATATCTTTTAACTCTCCGACTTCTCTTCAGACCACCACCACCTAGCATGACAGATGCCGAGGATTTGGATTACACCCATTTTACAAACCAGCAGAATTCCTCACGTTATTTCTCAAAGTCGGAGTCCTCTCCTAAAGGTAAGGAAAAAAATAAATACGGTTAAGTTTAGCATCATTTAAAATAACCCTTAGGTTATGGTGGAAAAATCTAACCTGTCTTACAGATCACTGGAGTGTCGTAAGTTCTTTTTCATTGGGTCATTGCACTAGGCTTCATTTATTAAACATAATGTTTCAAAATTATAGCCTCTAAGTTGAATTTAGATGTTCAGGAACATTTCTACCAGTGACAGCCCATAGCGCCCATCAAATTCTTACAGTTTAGAATTACAGAACTGACTCTTTCTCCCCTTATGACCATGGTTTATTAACTAGATTTGATATAACACACATAAAAATGTTTATGCGAAATAAGAACAAGACAGAGGAGATAAGGAAAAAATGTGAAAACTAAGTTGAACTAAGTCTCTAAAAGGAAGAGGAGCCAGAGAGATGGTACAGTGGGTAAGATGTTTACCTTGTACTTGATTGACCCACGTTGAATCCCCGGCACTCCATATGGTTGGTTCCCTGAGCCCTGAGCACAAAAACCAGGAGTAAGCCCTGAGTACTTTAAGTTTGGGGGTGTGGTCCGAAACCCAAAAGTTAAAGTTTAAAAAATAAGAGTTGGGAGTTGTCGGGCTCCTAAGCATTTGCTTTTACGTATGTAAGTTTTTATGATAGATATCAAATGAGATCATGAGAAGGTAGTTCCTTGCTCAAGTGCCTCCTCAAATGGAGGCAATGCTAATAATAGCAGCCTTTTCAGCATCACATAAATAAAATAGATGAGAGCAAATTGTAGCAATTTACAAACATTAGATATTATGGTCTTATTTGTTACGGCTTTTGAAGATTAGGTGACATTTTTATTAATGCTTTTCCAGTTTCAGTAATAGCCTTCACAAACTTCTTTGACCTTTTTTTTGGGGGGGGGGGGGGCGGGCGGGGTCACACCTGGCAATGCACAGGGATTACTCCTGGCTCTGCATTCAGGAATCATCCCTGGCAGTGCTCAGAGGACCATAGGGGATGCTGGGAATCGAACCCAGGTTGGCCACATGCAAGGCAAACACCCTGCCTGCTGTGCTATTGCTCCAGCCCCTCTTTGACTTTTCTTTTCAGTGGTCTGTATTAAAAATTTGTGTACAGATGCCACTTGGGACTAGTTACACCATACTTTTGTGGGAGGGCAGGATGCTCAGCTTTTATATTTTTAAAACAATTCCTCCTCTCCCATCCTCAAACATTTTATGTTCATCTAATGTTGAAAATAAGATGAAAGACAATTTTTTAAAAATATGATGGAATTCTCCAGCCCCATTGCACAGCGGTAGGGCATTTGTCTTGCATGCAGCCAACATGGCCGACCCGAGTTCGATTCTTCCGCCCCTCTCGGAGAGCCCGGCAATCTACTGAGAGTATCTCGCCCGCACGGCAGAGCCTGACAAGCTCCCCGTGACGTATTCAATATGCCAGACACAGTAACAACAAATTCTCCAATGGAGACGTTACTGGGCCTGCTGGAGCAAATCGATGAACAGCGGGAGGACAGTGACAGCGATGATGGAATTAGGGAACCAGAAGGCTAAAAGTTTTAAGAAAGCTTAAAGGGCTGAGTTATGCTTTGCATGCGCAAGTCCTGAGTTTGGGAAACAGAGAGATAGCACAGAGGGCAGAGCACTTGCCTTGCATGCTGCCCACCGGGGTTTAATCCCCTGCACTGTATAATGTTTGAGCCCCACCAAGAGAATTCCTGAATGCAGAGATTCAGGGTCAGTGCTAAGCATTGCTGATTGTGGCTCCAAAACAAACAAAACCAGCAGGTCATTCTGTCTCTGAGCACCCGCGGGAGGGACCCCAGCACAGAGCCAGGAGTAGGCCTCTAACACCACTCGGCAGGACCTGTGGTGTCAGGGGCTAGATCCTCCATTCATTCCCTATTTAAATAAATACACGATTAGTTATCCTTTGGGCTAGAGCGATAGCACAGCGGTAGGGCGTTTACCTTGCACGCAGCCAACATGGCCAACCCGAGTTCGATTCCTCCGCCCCTCTCAGAGAGCCCGGCAAGCTACCGAAAGTATCTCGCCCACACGGCAGAGCCTGGCAAGCCACCCGTGATGTATTCGATATGCCAGACACAGTAACAACTAAGTCTCCAATGGAGACGTTACTGGGCCCACTCAAGCAAATCGATGATCAACGGGAGGGCCTTTACCTTTCTACCTTTAGTTATCCTTTATCGAAAATACCCATACACATTTTTTTTCTCAAATTACATACACGTATCTCTAACAAGGTCATTTCTTCCTTTTCCTGTCAAACACTTGATACACAAAGTATTTGTTTTTTAAAAAACAAATTGTTGTCTTCTTAAAACTTCATGGTCCAAGATGAAGATAATACAAGCCACTTAATGCATGAAAAAATGAAAATAGATTTATTTTGCCTGTGCAGAGAACTGAGATAGATTTATTTTTATTTTTAATAATTTTTTTCTTCCTCCCTTTCCCAGGTTTCCATTATAAGTAAGAACCAGGAATCTGCTTTGAAAATGGACTCAACTGTAGCCAGTATTACTGGAGGATTCAGAACGCATTCCATGCTTACTTTTCTTCTATGGTTATAGTCCTGAGATGTATTATCCTCAAGTGTTCCTCTGACCATGAACAGTGATAGCTTATTTAAAATGTTTTGGTTATTCATAATCACTTGGGCAGTCTTAAGAAAATCTAGTTTCTGATAATTGGCCACCCACCTCCACACTGCACATGCTTTCTGGGATACGGTATCTAAGAGCTCTGTAAAATGCCATTTTTGCTAGGTGTGAAGTGTTGGTTTCTAGGGCCTAGATCTTAATGAGCAATTAAAAATTTGGGCGATAAACATTAAAGTAAAACCTAATAATTGGATGTAATACAGAATAAAAGGATATGTAAGAAGGAGCTCTTGGGGTGCATTCGTGTATGATGTATGGAAGAGGCCTTTTGCTTTTTATTTAATTCTAACTAAAAAGAAAAAAAAAACTGTTAACACATCTGAAACAGTTGAAATATATTTCGGACTACCTGGGGCATAGCACTGTCGCACTGTCGCACTGTCCTGTTGTTCATTGATTTGCTCAAGTGGGCACCAGTAACATCTCACAACAAATTGTGAGACTTGTTACTGTGTTTGGCATATTGAATACATCACGGGGAGCTTTCCAGGCTTTGCTGTGTGGGCGAGATACTCTCGGTAGCTTGCTGGGCTCTTTGAGAGGGGGGAGGAATCGAACTCGGGTCGGCCATGTCGGCCGTGTGCAAGGCAAACGCCTTACCTACTGTGCTAGTGCTCCAACCCACCTGGGGCATAAGGGTTTTTATATATTGCCCTCCTGAAAGAGCTGGTCTAGAAGTCTTTCTCAAAGTCTCTCTGTTGTTTTCTCCACAGCAAGGCCTTCTGAAGCCTCTGCTCATTTTATCTTTATTATTATTTATTGACAGAAATTTATTTCTGTGAAATTTTAACTCAGGTCTGTGCAGAGCCAACTGAAAATCAGAACCGCGTCTCCCTCCTGTCTTTCATTCACTCTATAGAGCCAAGGGGAACGGGGTTGTCAGGTTTGCTGACGTGATGGTACCGTTTTTGCCTCTATAAAAATGATGTTTTGTGAAACAAAGTTTGTTTGTTGAAGGATCTTAAAAACATTTTGTGTATGTATCTGACAGTGATCAGATTCATTCGACCTAAAGTTGGAGTAACTTAAGTGGTTCTGTATTCAAGTATTCGGTTCTACACTCGGTTCTACACTCGTTACATCTGCGTTGGCTCCTTCGGGCCAGGCCTATGGACCCTTCTTTATTATTCAATGGAATTTGTTTAGCTTCTGCCTTCAAGCAAACGCTTATTTCTCCCGTATCCCATATTCATTAGTTAATGTAAATGACCAGCTTTTTAGCCCCTCAACTTGTTTTACTGTTACGTATTATCATATTAATCTGGTGGTTTTTATATTTTAGTACATTTGTTTATAGAAAAAGATATGATTAGTGAAAAAGTTTCAATCTATTCACATTGGGAGTTGCCTTCCATTTGCCTTATTTTTCCAAATAGTCTTTAGAGTTAAGCAGTGTTCAGAAAATTATTTAGAATAGTTTTTCTTGGTGCAGTTGGACCTTTCATTTTGAGAAAACATATAAACTACAGATCTCTCTCAAAATGAAAGAACTAAATTCACTCAGAGAAACTAGTTTTCTGACTACATCTATGTATGCAAATATATAGAAACTTGGATAAAGAAACTGTTAAGACTTAAGTTCTAGGAAAATGATGATAATCTGGAAAGAAACAAACCTTAAGGATATAGTCATTTCAGAAAAATGAAGAAACTGGTAAATTAGCAGTACTTCTGAATGACTATTAGAAATGAATGATGAGAAATCTTCTTCTAAATAGGCACCAAATGGAGACCCTGGCCTTAAGTTAAATTCCAGAGGGTGGTTTCAATATCCAGCATTTAGGCCTTGTAACTACTAAAATGCTCTATTTTTCTTTGTCTGCCCTGTGATTTTGCTTAATGATTTAAAAAGATTTTATGGTAGCTTAAAAAAAAGTGGAGTTTTTATTTGATAATTAGGCAAATGGGCAACATCATTTGCCATATTTTTATTTTATAAATGTTTATTTTTCTATTTTGTACAATGGTTATTTTTACTTTAACAGTTCTGTATTTTTCTTGGGCTCTCATGTAATTTGTCCAGTCCTATTTATTGTTGTAATGTACCTATTGGAGATATTTCATTTAAAAAACATCAGGCTACCATAGTTAATATTTTATCAGGATGTTAGTGTTTCAGCTGTCTTAGTGACCAAAGGTGATATTTCCCTTGTGGCACCCAATTCAACATCTGTATTAAAAACTTGTAATTTTTGGTAGGTTTTAAAATAGGAGAATTTTTAAATGTTTTTTGTTTTATTTTTATTGTAAGGCAAACACTTTTTAAAAGAATATTAGTATACTTTCTTATCAAAACTCAAATTTAAAACAAAACTCAGATTCAGTCCATTCTTAATCATATTCAAATAATACAAATAAAAATATCTTTGAGACTATAGAAACAACTAACAACTACATATTAAGAACTGCCAAACATTCTCCACTGTTTTCTCCACTTTGTTATTTTTATAAAAATGTGGAGGCATTATTTTGTTCTTGTTCCTACTGCTTACATACTTCATTTAGTTTTTAGACCACAATATATTGCATCTAAATATTTTGATTTCAACTAACACTTTGGCCTTGTAAAGTCTTTGTGTGTATATCACTTTTTTCTCTGGAGACTAGACCCAGTTAACATCAGTATTGCTAAATGAGCACAGAGTATTGTGGAGATGTCATAAATTACAGAATATGTAAACCCCCTTGAGATTATGGCCTGGAAATAAAAGTAGAAGTTAAATGTTTCTAATTAAAAAATTTAAAAATGAACTTTAGTCCAACCATTGTTAAACATAATTACTAATTGAGAGGTTGGACAGTTGTTCCACAGTCTTTAAAAAAGAAAAAAATTGAGATTTTCAGAAAGAAAGACACTTTCTAAACCATTGACTTTACAACAAACTACAGACTAATGAGCTGCAAAAGAGACCCTATGGTTTTGCATCATGGAACCAGCTTAAGTAGAAAAGAAATGTATGAAGAGATGCTCGCAGGAGGAAAACCTTTCGAGAATGTCATGGCCACTTAGAACCAGATTAGGCAACTCCAAAATGTGTAATCTGGGACCTGTGTTTCACTGCACTCACTCTAGAAGTAGATCCTTCCTTCCCTTTTCTTCTCTGCCGTACTGTGCCATACAAACTCCGTGATGAATGAATTCATCGCTGGTACTATCCGTACCTTCCTGCAGTGGCAGAACTTTTCAGTATAGAAACAATGAGTGACTCACTAATTAGTTTACTATCTTTGATTTTGTTTGTGCCCAGTTGTTTGGAAAAACCTGCTATAATATGGTGCATTCAGCTTAACACAAAGAGCGATGAAAATTTTAGGCCTTGGGTTTTTAAGGCATGTTTTTGTTGGATAAAAATGAATTTAAAGATTGTTTTCCTTTATTCAGTGATTTTTCTTCTAAGATGTCTGCAGTGACTGGCTCTTAAGATCGTTACTCATATTGATGGAATAGTGAGACCCCTCTGTATCTGACTTTTAAAAAAAAATAGAACTTGGACTCAAGGACTTTTTTGGGGGTCCCTTTTTAGAAAATAATATTTGCATATGGAATGCTGATACTGAAAAGAACTAATATGCAGGTAGATTTTACTCTACATTGTGTGCTATATTCTGACAACACCGGCTTTTGATAAATTTGTAAGCAGATTTTTTAATCACTTTATCTGTTCCTTCTCATAATCAAAAAAAACTATGTTAAATGCTCTCTTCCCCTCTCCCCTCTTTTCTGGTAGTGCCTATGAGTTTTAAAGCCATAACTGCATGTTTAGCTATTAATAGAGCCTTCCCCCCCCCCGCCCTTTTAATTTTAAAAATGTAGTATGGTCAGGGAGAAGCAAATTTGAAGATTGTCCTGATTATTTTGCTTGGAGCACAGTTTCATCAGAATTTCCTTTTTATCCTCGATGATACATAAGCTCATTTTAAGGAAGACCAGGTTTTGAGGTACCTATTATTACAAAAAATACTGAAATGTAGTTCTAGAGAAGACAGAGTAGGATCAGATAAATTTGAAGAATCTCATTTCTACAGTCATTATTTCTGATGAGACTCACACTTTTTGCCAACCATGAGAATAAGGAACAGTATTGCCTTAAATTAGATTGATTTTGACCAAGATCAGTATACCGTGTTTCCTATTATGTGAATGACAGTTCTTCATTGGGATTTCACGATCATTTGTGATTCCCCAGTGTGTTAACTTGAAGAGCTTTAAACCTCCTTCCACTCCACTGTCAGTGACCTGTATACTGATAAATCATTTCATTTCAACTTGCCTCAATCTGTGAATAAGAAGTGATATTGTAGAGTTAAGAGTGTCTGACCTGATTCTTCAGATGACTGCTCTCATATAATTCTTCAGATGGTTGCTCCCTGATTACTCTCTGAGTTGACTGTCTTTTTCTGTAGTGACTGTAGAGAAGATGTCACCAAAGGTTCTTTTCAAAAAGTAAAGTCACTCATAGTTCTGTAAACATTTACCTTGTGTACTCAAATCCATAGTATTAACAAGAAAAGTGGGGGAGAAATCCACAATAGAATAGAGACATTTACTTGAAATGGAAGATGTATTATTACAAAGTGTTTCAGTTTTATTTCTTTTAAGAGAAAATTAACCAGGAAACATTTGCTATCATAATAAAGAATATCTCACTTTTTAAAGGTTGTATTGGATGCCACAAACATAATGCAATCATGTAAGTAAACATGTTGATTTGTGAAAATATCTGGTCCTCAAAAAACATTCTTTCCTTATATATTTGTGTATACTGCCTACAACCATGTTCATAGTGAATTTAATATGCATTTGTGTGTTCTTAGCAAACTAGAAAATACTTTTCTCCTTGGGAATAACACTTAACATAGGAAGTCAGCTGTGTACTGGTTTCAACATTTCAGATAAGGACAGAATTAATTGTATAACTTAGTGTTCCATTATTCATTGTTGATGTTCCTATATAAAGTATGAATGATTGGGTTCTAGTGACATTTCCTTCCTTTAGAAAAGAGCAAGGATTAAGGACAGCAAAGAGAAGACAGTTGAGAAAATACACAATTACACAACATCTGCTTTAGTGCAACTAAGAGTATAAATTTCAGACTGACCATAATTTCTTAACAGGTTTTTAGCTGTTAAATTTACAAGTTTTTTGATGTCAGATTTTTTAAAATGAGTTGTCTTTGAAATTTTTATGAGCTAAAACTTTAGCTCTTCTATAAATTGAAAACCAA